TTTTTATAGTTTTTCTTAAAATATGTGGGCTAACCCCTATGAAAAAGCTGAATTTTCCGTTAAATACTATATATACCATATTTCGTGTTGTTTAAAAAAAACCTAAACGCACTCCAAATTTTATATATGTTTGCTAAACATATCTTTATGGTACATGGGCATCATGTCTAATTTTCCAATGATTAATTTATTTAACATTAATATATCACTTAATATGTAGATTAACACCTATAAAAATCCTATTTTCTGGAGAAATAGAATTATTTAAGGTCTCAAACCTATTTAATATTCATACTATGTTGGTGTATGGTGCAGCTTTGCGTTAAAACAAAATTTTCATTTTTTATAATTTTCCTTGAAATATGTGGGTTAACCCCTATGAAAACGCTGATTTTTCCATTAAATACTATATATACTACTTACCATCTTTCTTGTTGTTTAGAAAATACCTAAACGCACTCCAAATTTCTATATATGTTTGCTTAACTTATCTTTATGGTACATGTGAATCATTTCAAATTTTCTAACAATTAATTTATTTAACATTCATATATCACTTAATAGTGGATTAACCCCTATGAAAATCCTATTTTCTAGAGAAATAGAAACATTTAAGGTCTCAAACCTATTTAATATTCATACTATGTTGGTGTATGATGCAGCTATGCATTAAAATAAAATTTCATTTTTTTATAGTTTTTCTTAAAATATGTGGGCTATTTATTGTTGATTAAAAATTACCTAAGAACATTCTACATTTATATTAATGTATGCTAAATGTATTTTCATGCTACATGAACATCTTTTCTATATTTCCATCAGGTAATTTATTTAAATTTCATATTCCACTTTATTAGTGGACAAATCCCCTATAAAACAAAATTATATTTTCTAGAGAAACATGAACACCTAAGGTCTCAAACCTATTTAACCTTCATACTATGTCACTGCATGATGATAGACTATGATTATAAAATAAATAAAATAGGATAAAGTTTTATTTTTCATTTTATAAACAATAACTGAATACATATTAATGCAAAATTATAGTTTATTATTGATAAAAAAATTAATGAAAATATTTTTATAAATTTTTTAAAATTGAGATGTTTTTAAAATATTTTCAACAACTTTTCTAAAATTTTTAAAATTTCCATATTTATAAATAAAGAGATATCAAAAGATATTATGATTAAAGTAGTTACATAGATTTTATATTATTAATGTTAATAAAATACATTTATAAATATATAAAGAGGATCTAACTACAAAATTACACTTGAAATGAAGTTGTGACATCCATTTTAACAGAATAGATATACTTAACTCTGGCCTAAAAGTAGAATAGAGGTTTTATAACCCAATTTCAAGAGATAATGATGCATACAAATTATTTATTATCTCTTCTGGCAAGCAGTGGCGGAGGTAGAGTTTCATGAGGGGGGTCAACTGATACCCATGAAATTTCATAAAACACTATTTTCAAACCAAATAACGACCCCAATCAAAACAAATTCTGAGCCTTATCGATTTTTTTAAGGTAAAGTCTAATTATGACTCCTATGAGTAAATTTTCTGCATCCGCCACTGCTGACAAGCCGATAATAGACTGCCTCGACATAACTAAACTACAAGTCTACAACATATACTTGTAGACTATACGAAAACCACATTAGTACAATATACTTCTAGTTGGAAAATTATAACTTGTGAAAAGTGTAAAGCAAACTTGCCTTGTTCAATCTATTGAGTGGAGAGGTTCGGATGAATCTCCATCTACAGGTTTTATGTTCCTTTTGAGGAGAAAATTATTTAAATACTAATGAAAAGTGGTATAAACGGTTTCTTTGGAAATATATAGTTGATAGTATTTTGTTGTGGCCTACAAAAAATATGCATGAATAATAGGCTTTGCAAAATTAAGAAATGAAAAAAGAAAAATGAGAAAACAAAAAGATATTGCATGCCTAAGTGAGTGAATTATGTTGAAAATGAAATAAAGTGGACCTGTTTTTTTTCTTCCTCTCTTAACTTTGAACCATGCTTGTGTTGAAAAAGGAGTATATGTATTCATTTAAGATAAATCATTTATTGCCACTAAAAATTTTTAAAACGTCTATATCTCATAGCAGCAAAGTAATATATAACTCGGACTATTACATCATCCAATGCCCATCTTAATATGTATACTGTTATATATCAGATCACATGCTCATTTTGATGATAAAACCGTTAGTGACTATTGTAAATTACATATAGAGATTAGAGATCTAGCTAAAAGGAGATATACATGTAGGTTGATTAATGTATATACCCTTTTAAGTATATTAGAGTATATTATCAACCGATCGATCTACAAGAAGATATGTTGTGTAGGTATGGAATCTTGGTTGGAAGAAGAAGAAATATCAAACTACTGGCAAATCTTTGAATTTTCTTGACAAGTGTGTGCCCATCTATATCTAAACATATGTATTATAAAAAGATCAAAAGGACCACCCAAAAGGAAAATAAGTTATGTTTTCAAAACCAATAATTTACTAATGGGGATAAATGGCCCTACAACTTGGAGAAGAGGGAGAGAGAGAGAGATGACTACAATTGGAAGATAGGGATCAGTGCTTGACTGCAATTCAGTTGCTGTCTTAACTGCTTCTCTTCTTTCCCTTTCCTTCTCTGATCCCTTCAATCCCAATACTCTGTACCCACCATCATCCACCACTCCTTTTCTTTACATACAATTTTTATTAGAGTTTGGTGGTACTATGACCAAGAACTTGAAGTTACAAGGAGTTCGACTCATATCATATGTGTCAATATTATAAATTTTAGATTGTTCAGTGAAATATTGCCTATACATAGAGAAACAAATTAATGATCATATAGTGTATGGGGTTAATTGTTTGTCAAGCCTTTAATTAAGCTTCAGAATAAAGGTATATCGTACATGTCATTGACATTTTATTTTTGAATTTCACAGACAGTCCAAACACGTGATTGTGATTCCATTTCATTTATTAACTCTCTCAATGACAATCAGTCGAGTATCGACTAAAGACCAACTTTGATTTTGAGGAATAATTCAAAAGTCAGCAATTACGGAGATGTGAAATACGCTAGCTGACAATCTCAACGAATTTGCTTTGTTTTATAGATTAGATACGTATATATAAATGCTCACTTTCTTAGTAAATTGATACTGACTTATGTATAAATACATGTACGTGATTGTCGGTCAGTGGGTGTGACGCATATATACACACGAGGCTAGGGTTTGGCATGCATTTTAGATATTGCCGTGCGCCTAGGAATTGTGAACAGAAACCTATATTCTTCTTTTTTTTGAAAAAAAAAACTATATACTCTTCAGTTTTGTATCTATGTGTGGAATATGCATGCACAAATTTATACTTATATACATCGTAATATGTCGGTACAAATATAAGTAGTTGGGTGAAAAATATATATAAATAGTTGTTTTTAAGAAAACAAATGGTGGTGGGATACAATTATTGGAAACTTATTGTTGTTTCTTTCTGACACATGACAAACAACGACCCGTTCAGTTTCCTCCATTTGAATTGTGCACAAAGAAAATTTACTAAATAAATTTTCTAAACTCAAATCCTAACCATTGACATAGTTACTAATTGAAAGTATACATGAAAAAGCAAGATTATACATTATGTTAAAAATCTGTACATGCTAGCTTATAAATATTTAATTATGACAAACCTATATATCATAATACTATACACCTCTTTTATTTAAGTAACTATATTGTTATACATCCACCAATGAATACAGAAGACAAACTAGGATAATTCATAAAATTTCAATAGCAAGCAATAGCTAAAACCATATCCACTGTTTTTTTAAATAGAAAAAAATCTATAAAAGAGATGATTTTTACTCAAATGTATATCTCTAAAATTGCATTCATCTAAGACCAATGAATATTAGAAGAAAATATGTATAGACTATAAAATATCTTTGTTCGGATTATTAATATCTTTATTCGGATCCAATCCAAGATTAATCAAGATTATTGAAATTCTATATACATACGAGATGAATTATATAAATCCAGTCCAACAATACAGAAAAATAAAAATATAATATATAAGAATACGTATGCATGTAACATATGTATGTATATTATAAATATATGAATCTTTCATGAATGTGAATCATTGTCACTACTATGACGATCCATATCATGATTATTTGAGCTCATCAAATGATGAAACGGTCTAGTTAAACTCGAGTTACCCGTCATCATTTGTTGCTGCGACGCTGTATTAGCATTGGAGCCAAAGAGCTGAAGATTCCCAGCTCCAAGGAACGAAGGATACGTCGGAAATAGAGAGCTCATTTCCGGAGGAGGAGGACGGAAATTGAGATTATAGTTGTTATTATTAGGAACATTGGATATTGCGACAGTAACGTTATTACCAGACTGGTCTAACGAGTGTTGAAGGTGTCCGAGGTTGTAGTAAGAGGAAGTACTGTTGTTGTTGTAAGGTTTTGTCAGAGAGAATTGTTGATGATTGGCGTCGAACTCATGCTCTTGATGATGATTAATGTTCTCATCGTGTTTGATCCATTTCCCTTTATCAATATCAAAACTCTCTCTAGGTATTGTTGTAGTATCCGTGATTCTTGATCTTGTTCTTGAAGAAGAGCCACCAAGATCCCAATTTTGCAAGAACCCAAGATTAGTACCTGAAAATGCTATTGTTGATGATGAGACTTGGAAAATTAAATAGCCTCAAGCTCATAGCTACATAATTGTAGTTATAACTCAAAAAAAACACAAAAATTAGTCAATGGTTGCAATAATATTAGTGGCTATTTTCAGTTTTTTTTTCTTGTAGTGTGAGATTAGTACCTGGAAATGTTGATGTAGATGATGATTCTCCGAATAAGAGACTTGGATACATTTGGTTAAACCCATGTGGGAATTGTAGAGGAGGGAGCTCGTCAACGTCATCTTTTGCTGCTTCAAGTAACCAATCAATGACTTTGCTTGGCTGACTCAGCCCTAATCTATCTTGAAGGTCGTAAAGTTGAATTGCTGTCGGTACGGATAACCTTATCCTACGGTCTCTAAGGCCACGGACTGTGCATACTTTGCTGTGCCTGTCTTTACCACCGAAAGCTTTTGAGACTCGGACGATTCTTGGATTCCTAAAAGCTGAAGTCCATTGCCTCGATGATGATACTGAACTCGGCTGATTCTGTTGCAACATGTTGTTTAAGTTTACTTGATGAAAATGATCTCTTTCTTCCTTTGCTTGAATTTCATCTTCATCGCATTCTCTTGATCTCATCTTTTAACTAGATTTTTTCTTGTGAAGAACAGATCTGAAACCAACAAGGTAGAAGCAAAGTTTATCAGTTTAGCAACATAGAATGCAAAAGAAGTTGTTATAGCTTCTAATTATGGAAAATTGAGATGAAGTGATGCATTCTTCACAAGTTTTGGAAAAAAATTCACATGAAAAGATCTAAATGATATATTTATTGGTTTACATCTAAGAAATGGAAGTTCAGATATTAATTTGAAATTCAACAAATACATGTTCTTACATCGATGAAGACTGGTAAGCTTGAGTTCCTATATCAAGATCTAGTTTGATTGAGAAGAAGAAGAAATAAGAGATAAGAAGGCAGAGGAGGAACAATGTTAAGTCTTTCTTTTTCTGGTAACTCGAATTTTTATGTATATATTATAATGATTGGGATAGTTTTATTAATATATATAGTTTATTTTAAATATTCCTCTCCCTAGGGTTTTATTTTGGTATGAAAGGAATTTATGCACAAGGATAAGATGGGCAATTCTTAGAGTGTATTGATACCCTGATGCGAATGTGTGCATGTGGCGTCTAACACTCACAGTCACATAAGAATTTTACATGTATAGCTTTACAAAAAAAAATCAAAATACTTTAGTATTTTTTTTTAGTTCCCTTTCGTGGGTTTCACTTCGTCTTTTAAAATCTCCAACGATTGGTAACAACAATTTTAACATGCGGCTATAGTCTATTAACAGAAAGCAAGCGTTTAAGACAGTTTACACTCGTTTAAGTATTTAATTAGTAGCATAAAAGATTGTGTGAAGCATGATTGTTATATATATATTAACAAGATATTAATTAAACATAAAAGAATCAAAAAGAGGAAACATAAGAATGGTAAAACAAAGTTTAAATTGAACTACAAGAATATGAAAAGTTTATGATAGAAATTGTTGAGTTATAATATTGACAAAGCAATTTGTTAGAATTGATAGATTTAGTGATGAAGTGTAGACTTGTCAAAATAAAACTGTTAGAGATTTGAGAATGCTTTTATTACTAGTTAAATAACTTGTAGGTCATAATTTATTTTGAATCTTATAGTTGTGTAACAAAGTATATTATAATATAGCTTGACAGCTAGAGGAGGTATATACGGGTCTCTCTCTGAGATAGAGAATGGACCAAAGAGTATAGGTTTTTCTTTAAAGCATCTAATGCTTAAATTCTTATAAAGAGATTTATGGACCACTTTTTTCTCTTCTGTGTTTCTGCCACTGAGATTTTTGCCCACAAACACACCATTTTTCTTACCTCTTTGTATCCAACTTGATCACTAGCTACTATAAAAGTCTTCTATAGCTGAACGCGAATTAACCCAGTTATGGTTGTTACGAACGAAGAATATTGTGTTACTGACACATAATTTCAAATCAGGATATTGCATGAATAATTATGCAATATATTTATAATCTTGTGATGAAATTCATTGCAACAGTGTTGCCTTATATCTTCACAAAAGTGTTTCCTGCGTTCTATACACGTAATTTTCTAGTATAGTTGTAAGGAATTTCCTTAACGCAAACTTAGGTCATGTTTATGACTTAGGTTTCTTAGAGCATTTGCAATGGTGTTATTAGTTTTTAATTTTTTTAATTATTATTTTTTAGTTTTGGATAGTAAAAAAAGATATCAACCAATCGCGAGTCGCCACGTATCATGGGGATCCGTAAATAGTGTAAGGATTCGCTAAGAAAGAATCATTATTTAGAGATTTTAAAGATTGAATCCTTAACTTTTAGTGGACTCCACTAATTATTTAATTGTTTTTTTCTTAAGGATTTTCTTTTAAGGATCTATGTTACGGATGCTCTTAGCGTACGGTCATTTACCTTTTAATTAAAAAAACTAAGAGACCTCCCTTAAATAAGGAATTTAAGAGACATCTCTTAGCTTTTTAGTTAAAAGCTATGGACTGCAGAAATGAAATGAAGTAGAGAAACTAGAGATGAATGATGGGACTTGAGCTTATGAGCTTAAACTTCTCCGACGTTTCGAGAGAATTGGATCTTGTATTCTTGTGATCCTTAAAAAGACCACACAATATACGTTTTGCATATATGTTTGTATACATGAATATTATTACATAATATGTACATGCAATTTGGTACATCTGACTCTTGGATGAATTATGGCAAAGCTCTGCAAAATTCTAGTTTCAGTCTGCTCAAAATAAGTTAACCATCTGCTATTTTTAACCATGTTTTTTCCTTTGCCATAAATTTTCAAAGTAAGTATAGAAACCCTAAGTTACTTTCTATATTTATTAATTACCCCCTTGTAAGAAATATTTACACGCCTGCCTGTACTTTTCTTTCAACATAATTCCCTTTTTTGGATTTCACTTACAGCATAATTTAAATTGAAGTTATTTTAAGGAGCTGTAATAGAAATGTTGGGGGATCCCGGAGAAGAAAAAGCCGACGATGTGGTCACATACCTAGTAAAGGAATTTGTTTCTTACATAATTATCATTGCGCGACAATAAACTTTATATGTATATATGATGGATGTTCTACACATATGACTGACACAAATCTACTCTTTCAGTACTTTTTTTTTTTACAACAAATGCTTATATTAAAATTAAACATCCTTAGGGTTTAATTGATTACAACCGGAGAGGTACTCAACGATAAGCTAATAAACTAACATAACTAAAGCATGATGAAAGATAGAGGTGGTTAAGGAGAAAAGAAACCCGTAGAAAATCTTCACTTGTAGTCCTAAAATCCGTTTTCAAAAAACACAAAGAGTCGAGATCGACGTTGAAGAATCCAATCAAAGGATTTTGAGAGCATTGGTGAATGAGACGGACAGAAGAAATTACGTACAGTGCTTTAAATTATCCAATAACTTTTTGGAACAATAATGTTGGAAACAAACAGACAAGCGTTGGGTTTCATTAGATGAGAATGTGTATATAAATATATGACTGCTAATATGTAAACAAAAAAATTTTAGACAAGTTGTTCTTTCATCGCCATCCAGATCTCAAATGCTAAAATTATCCAAATTTTCATATTTGCCTTATGTGATATCAACAAGTCATAACATTCCCCAACTCTTTTATTTATTTCGATCTAAAGAGCTTAACTGGTGTGGTTCATTTTCTACTACAGTATAGGATGGCGTAAGAAACGTCTTTTTTTCTTTTTTTTTTGCCTTTTGGTTCTGAGCCGTCGTTTTCATGTCGGGTCTGAACGTCAGTAAATGTAGAAGACTCATGCTGAGACAGACAACGACATGTCCGTAGTAACTTGTAAGAGACAGCACCAAAAGGAGTAAAAAACACCAGAAAGTAAATTAGGTTAATTAACTAAATTATGATGATGCTCACATAAGGACAGACAACATAACTACTCTTCCTTTTTGTATTATTGATGCAGTAAAAGGTAAAGGTGTTTCCAGAGTCTGCTGCACATAAAAACACTGATGAAACTACCCGTTTCTCTCCGTGTTTTACTGTTACATTACAAAACCACTCTCTCATATTTGGAAATAAAAAAAGTCTTGGTTGCATATAAGACAAAACATATATAATAAATATATATGCCAAGACAAGTATTGGCTTTTATATGGATATGGGAAGTAAAGAGGAAGATAAGAACCTGCAAATGACAGAGAAAATGCAGTAAACAAAAGTTACTGCATGGAATAGTGAAGTGCCTTTAATGTCTGGTGAGAAATATAAAAGCAAAGAGAGGGACATACATTGTGTAAGAAAAAATTATTGCATGCAGTCATGCAGATAATGTTTTTTTTTTAACTTTCTTTCTAGCTTGGATCTTGAAATTAAGCAATCTCATGACTCAAACAATAATATTCGCCATCAATGCATTGAGCTTTGACAATGCTGATACAATGTAATGGCTGATCAATGGCTTTTAGTATCAGAAAACAATTATACAGAACATGTAGTGAGATTAGGTTTACATGGTGGACCGTAGCATATGATCGGTCCACCCTATGATATTAGTCGGAAAGTATTCTAAATTTGAATCAGGCATTGTGGTGTGCTTTCGGGTTAGTCCACTTTATATCACTAAGTGTGTTCCTTTCGGAGCCGACCGGATTAGCCGATAGAGATTATCAAAAAAAAAACATATATACAATGAAACCTCTATAAATTAATAATGTTGGGACTACACCAAATTTTTTTTTTTATTAATTTAGAGAGATATTAATTTATAGATATACTAATTGAACCAAAAATTCAATTTGTGACTATAAAATTATATTAATTTATAGAGATATTTAGTGTATATTAATTTATCGAATATTAATTTATAGAGGTTTTACTATATATATATATATATATATATATATATATATATATATATATATATAGTCAGATTAAATCATTTATCCTCTTTCTGTATGAAAAATAAAGGGACAAATAAGATCTTTTAGTTTTTAATGGATCAAACAAAAGAAAGATATCTGTCTAACTCCTGCATGTTTCTTGATTAATTGAGAAGATAATTAGTCAGCAACCCGTTGGGTAAAATTAAAACCCAAGCTTTCTCACATAGAAAAAAACTTTAGGCTACAATATTAGTCCAAAGAAGATCAAACATTGTACTGATTATGAAGTAATCCATCAAATATCAACTAAACTAAGTTATTGGCATCACAAAAACTGATCCAATGATAGACCACATAGGTAAAAAACTGCTCTAGATTCTAAAGAACCCAATGTACTTATGGGGACAAATCTCACAAACCGAACTCTCTTGTGAAAGTAACATTCATTGCAAGAACGGTAGAAACTTTACTTGAAGCCCTTAACGGACTTCAATATCATTGGTATAGAAGAATTGAAACAGCCCCAACTTTGAATATTAATGGGCCGAACCGAGCTAAGCTATGCTTCGTGGGCCGAACCGAACTTAACTACATGACTGAACCGAGCCGAATTAAAACTACATGGGCCGAACTGAACCGAACTGAACTAAACTGAACTAAACTCCGTACCAGTTATGTTCCATCTCACACTCTCTTTCTTCGTCTGTCGCTGTCTCTCACGTCCTTCCTCTGTTTCTCCTGCAACAGATCTCTCTTTGTCCTCTCTCTCCCTCAGAATCATTGTAAGTACAAACTATACTTCCATCATCTTTCGATCTCTTCCCTTTTGACTCTTTCTAGATTTGCTAGAAACCTTAAATCTAAGCTTGATCTGATGACTCATTACTTTCATTTACTTCTCTTCTCGATTCACTTAATTACAAAACATTAAACACTTTCATTATCTGTTTCATTATTGTCTGCTTTCATTTCTTGATTAGTGTCCTTCTTGTAAAAGTGATCTCTTTATTCATTTTAGGGTTTTATGTGTGTGTGAGAGAGCTTACTTTCATCATCTAGAACAGTGATTTCTTGCACAGATCGTTGACTATTACTTATTGATCGAAAGAACATAACTGTTTTTGTTATTGAGTGTAGATGGCACAGCAGGAAGCTAGCACTTCCCCTGGTGCTGAGGTTGTTGGCCGTGCCTTTGTGGAGCAATACTATCACATTCTTCACCAATCTCCCGGTTTAGTTCACCGGTTTTATCAAGATTCCAGCTTGTTAACCCGTCCTAACCTAACCGGTTCTGTGACCACTGTCACAACTATGCAAGTGAGATTCTATGCTCTTTACTTTATAGAGTCTTTAACTTTGATCTAACTTGGTTCAAACTGTTTTAGGCGATCAATGAAAAGATCATGTCACTGAACTATGGAGACTACACTGCGGAGATAGATACAGCAGATGCTCAGGAGTCTCATGAGCGAGGTGTTATTGTGTTGGTGACTGGAAGCTTAACCGGGAAAGATAATGTGAAGAAGAAGTTCAGCCAAACTTTTTTCTTGGCTCCACAAGACAAAGGTTACTTTGTCTTAAACGATGTGTTTCGTTTCCTTGAGGAGAAACAGGTGATGACTACTACACAAGCCAAGTCTGTGGCCATCAATGGAACCACCACCACCAAGGATGTTCAAGCTCCTGTTGAGCCAGAAGGTGTTGTTGTTAGTCATGAGGCTGAGGTTGAACCAGAGCCAGTTGCTACTATTGAGGAAGAAGATCTTGACAATGTGGCTGAGGTGTATGATCCTTGTGAGAAAGAGGAAGGAGTTGTTGTTGACGTTGAGCCTATTGAAACTCCAGCTCAAATAATTCACAGTGAAGTTTTGTCAGTGTCTCATGGAGATCCTCCTACCTATGCTTCAATCGTGAGTCTTAAACTGCTTAATAACCAATTTTAAAAAATCAGTAAATTGCTCAACTAAATACTAGCAATTTCTTGAACATTGATTGATTTGTAGTAAACGTTACAAGTCTTTGTGTTATTACAACAGCTGAAACTGATGAAAAGTGGTCCAGCACCACCAACACACGTTGCTCGGAACAAGCCAAGAGCATCAGCTCCGGTGAGAACCAACCAGAAGCCAACTCCTCCTCATACTGAGCATGCAGCAGCTCCTAATGCTTCAGGTCTTGAGAATGTTCACAACAGTAACAATGTTGATGTGGAAGGTCGGTAACTTCTTTGCAATTTACTATTTGAATATACAGACACTATCCCTTGGTTATTGACATCTACTTGTTATTACAGATGATGGACATTCGATTTATGTCCGAAATTTACCTTTTGACACCACACCAACACAACTTGAAGAGGTGTTCAAGAGCTTTGGTGCTGTCAAGCATGAAGGGATTCAAGTCAGAAGCAATAAGGTTTGATATCTGAATCTACAACTTCTCCAAGAGTAACTTAACTGGTTTCCTTCCTTACATGTTGTTTGTGATCTATCAGCAGCAAGGTTTCTGTTTTGGTTTTGTGGAGTTTGAAACATCTAGTGGAAAGCAAAGTGCGCTTGAGGCCTCACCGATTACAATTGGTGATCGTCAAGTTGTTTTAGAGGAGAAGAAAGCTAACACTCGAGGTAACAAACATGAGAGAGAGACCTGATCAATAATAAGGATGGTTTATGTTTGTGTATGTGAAAGATTGTGTTTAATCTTTTGTAGGAGGCAATAATAATGGAGGTGGTAGAGGAAGGTACTTTGGAGGAAGAGGAAGCTTCAGAAACGATAGTTTTAAAGGAGGACGTGGTGGTGGTGGTGGTGGAGGAGGAAGAGGAGGCTATGGAAGAGGTGGTGAGTTTTCAAGTAGACCAAAGAGTTCAAACCCAAGGAATGGAGGAGAAGGTTACCAGAGAGTTCCTCAAAACGGAAATAGTGGAAGAGGAGGAGGTGGAGGAGGAGGTGGTGGGTCTCGTGGTGGTGTTACAGCTTGAGTTTGCATCTTAATGTGCACCAGGATAAGAGATTAGTTTTAATTTTTATTTTGCAACGTTTTTTTTTTCATTTCTCTTATGGCCTTTACTACTTGAGTTGAGTTTGATGTTTCAAGTTGTTTTGGCTGTTTTGTTTTTGTGGGTTTAGTTTCTCCATATTCTCTCTTCATAACATTCAATTTCATATGAAATCTATTATAGAGTTGTGTTCTTGATGTAAAATGGCCTTTAGGTGTTTAGTTAAAGTGGGCAAAGCAAGTGAACTAAACCTGCTTTTCTGATTCTTTATTGCATTAGAGAATTGGGAAAGGCATAAATCCAAAGGTTTCTGCAATTTAAGAAGACAACCAAATGCAGCAGAACATAGCTTTTAAACTTATTTTAATAGCATAACTTGGGTCTTAAAGAGAGAAGAAAAAATAAAGTACATTCAAAAATTTGGTGAGTTAATCAGACACACAAAACAAAGAGAAGCATTTTATAGAGTTCATCATCTTCCCCTCTTTCATATTCTACAAAACAAAAGCCAAAAGATACAATTCAATTCTCAACACACATTCACATATTCCAAGTTTTGACAATGCTTCTACATTCAGGCAAGAAACTATCAGAATATCCGAACAATTCAATTCTTGCCTGAATGTAGAAAGTTAGAAACATTGTCAAAACTTGGAATATGAATGTGTGTTCTCAAGGTAGCTTACTTACCTAGTTACCTATGAGTTTTTCAATATGTAAGTACCATTCGAGCTCATACTGGTTTACAAAGTGATATCCCAACAAAAGTGAAATAAAGCTTTAATCCCTTAAAAGACGTTAACTCAAATAATATAAACTGCAGAAAAGTTTATTACAAGCAAAGTTCCGAAACTTTTTAGACAAAACAGATTCCTTACATTGTGAAACTTTTTAGACAAAACAGATTCCTAACATTGTGAAACTTGAGATCGACTGAGATGCTTTGTTCTTACTTCTTGGAGATGTCTTGGAGCAACAATCTTGCTTCAGCAGCAAAATCAACAGGAGCCACACCTTTCACAGTAACCCTCTGCCTCTTCTCACCGTTGTACTCATTCTGAGTGACACCAATCCTGAAGACATGAGACGACCAAGTTGCCTCTTTCAGCTTTGTCTGAAACTCATTTACTTCACCTCCCTGGAAAAAAAGTTTCAAACGTTAAACATCACATAAGAATCTTCAACATGGTTCTTAGTTTAAAGATAGTAGCTCCTTACCTCAGATCTTAGTTTGTTGAGCTCATCAGCGGAGCATCCAATGATCTTCTCTGCTTCGTCATTGAATGAGGAAAACCAAACTTCTCCTGTTGAGTCAGAGACTTTCACCACCATTATGTACCTGACAACAACACCCAAAAGTAGACACAAATAAGTTGTCTGAAGAGGAAGATAATGTTGGTACCTACAAAGTTCTGAGCATTCTAACCTTAAGCTGCATTCTTCATCTTTTTTCTGGCAACCTTCACACCAGTAACCAGAGTCCATTGCTTCAGTCACTTTCTTGTTACAAGTCTTACAAGCTTGGTACCACATTGTCTGGTCTGGTTTGATGAAGCTTATGTAACCCCTAGTGCTGAAAAACACAGGCTGCAACAGAGATCCAGTTTCATGATAAGTACATAATTAGTTAAGCAAGCTTGGTAAATGAGTGGAGTTTAATCCTTTATTACCTTCTCATCGCCTAGAGATGGGTTGCTTGTGAGGTGAGAGAGAAGGACTCGGTCTGTATACATAGACCAAGATCCATTCTTAGCAGATGGGCTAATCCCTGAGCCAATGGAAGACATGGATGTTTCCTTGCCTTCAGAGTCATACCAAGATTTCAGCTTTTTAGCTTCTGGTGATTCAGGATTGATCACCACATTGCTTCTCCTGATGGTGGACAACGAAACCCCTGAGGAGATAGGATTACATCAGCAAACAGGTTTGGAGAGAAATGTGATTTTGACAAATTGTTCAACCATAGCAAAAACTACCTTGATAGTCTCCAACTTTGAGAGACTTGATTGCAATGACAGGAGACTGATCAGCCATATCCAGAAGCTCTTGACCAATGCCAGTAGCCAGGTCGTTCCACAGAGACACCACAACAGTTTTCTTTGACTCATCAGCCAAAGTTATATCCCTCTTGGATATCATCTCATTGTCAGTTCTCCTTCTAATACTCATGGTAGGGGAAACACTTTGAACAACACCAATAAGATCTGTAAACAACATAATATTGACGTTGTTATCATCCTAAACCAATGCATAAGTTAACAACTAAGATGTATGTTCAGTGAAAAATAATGACTCTTACCAATAAGCTCCTTCTGGTTCACATACATACCCAACTCTTCAATGGGTACAAAGTTGAATTTTGTCTCAGGAACAAACGTTTCCTCGTTACTAGCTTCCTCCACCTCTGAGTTTTCATTCAGTGTCATCTCGTAATCATTCTGAACCGTCTTGAACTGCTTGTTAGCAAGTTTAAGTGATCCTCTAGAGATATAATACACTTTTCCCAGCTGGAATCTGTCATAGAACTTCCGTGCAGCATCATTAAACATCGTTGCTTGAATCTGTGTACCCTGAATCACAACAAAAAGTAACAAAATGAGTAACCACACCACATAAGAAACAAGGAGAGCTTTCTTACTTCTTCATCAGTTAGTTCAACATTGAAGACACATCCTTCTCCTCTAGCGTTTCTGTAGTTTCTCATGGTTCCCTTGTTAGTGACTCGGACTTTGATGGTCCAGCTTCCGTGATAGGGATTCAAGGACTCAAGTGGTTGAACTCTTCTAGTCATAGCCATTCTTGCAGCTGGTGCAGCACTGCAAAAAAAAACAAAAACAAAAACAAAAACAAACCGATTAGCACATACTCATAAGGTACAACATGAAACACAAAAGACATTAAAGTATTCACTTACTTTCCCCTCTGTTCAGTGATTATCTGAGAAGCTGACTTAGCAACAGACTCCTGCTTAGGTTTCAAAGTGATTCCAGTTGAAACAACATCACTCACAGGAGAGTGATCTATCTTCTGCCTCTTGGCCTCACCACCCTCCTCTTCCTCATCCTTCTTACCCTCCAAATCAATCTCAGACTCAAGCGCAGAAGCAACAGCCTCACACTTCGTCACAAGAAAATACCTGAAGAGACGATTAAACATATGTTAGAGCTTGAGATGTGAGTAGACAATGTAAACAAGTAGTAAAGGTTCTTACTTTGTTGATTTGCTAGAGATGTCATTCACAGTGAAATCAAGGAGACGGATAAGACCCAGATTCTGAATCTTCCCAGAAATTATCTCTGGTGTTAGCGAAGCTGTGAACATAGCTTTCACTCTCGTCTTCCCATCATTGGCATTAAACCTGTAAACAAGAATCAGAACATATAAACAATCAAATCAGATAAAACCCAAAAGAACACAAACTCTCTAAACCCTAATTCGAAACTGGAGATTCAAAAAGGACGAAACTTTATTTATCAAAAACCCAAATAACACAAAACCCTAAAACCCCTAATTTCGAATCTGGAGATTCAAAAAGGACGAAACTTTATTCATCAAAAACCGAAAAAACACAAAACCCTAATTCGAAAATGGAGATTCAAAAAGGACGAAACTTTGATCAAAAACCCTAGATCTATGCCATTGAATCATACACGATTACGAAGCTATAATCTCCGATATACTGATGAAACTGATGAAACCCAGATACCGTATACTAATCTAGAATCGGAACTAAGAAGCTTACGTGTATCGATTGCCGATAGGTTTGAGATCGACAACTTGAACAACGATCTCAGATCGATCTGAAGAGGAATCAAAAGATGGGTTTGACAATACGGCGGAGATAGCATCTGGGGTCACCGAGTTCTGCATTTTCTTAAACGTTTCGATTTGAGCTTGAATCGAAATGAGAAAACCCTAAAGGTGTGTGCTTTGTGTTTGTGTGGGTGATTGAATAAGTTTAGAGGAAGAGGAGAGGGTTTTTGTAAAGGGAAGAGTGTGGCGGGAGCTATTAAATTTAATTAATTACACCCGCGCGAGATTTTAACTTTTTTATTTTTTTCCCGTAATTTTTCATTTTCACAGCTTTTCGCGCCTTAACGAAGGCTGTAACCTTTGGAGCAAAACAGAAGGTTTAAACATATTTATTCATTTCAAATATAGTGGGCTATTTTTAGCTTGTTGCCTTACTTATTGGGCCTATTACTACTAACCCAATAAGCTTTAGTGTGATGTTTTTATTTAGCTTTTAATTCACTGAATAATTCAACGGTCACGATTTACTTTAAACAACTTCACTACATAAACCCTTCACCGGACACACACACACACAGGTAGGGTTTTAGGTTTCAACAGAAGCTAAAGAGAAGAATCACAGAGGAAGCCAAGTGTAGAGAGAAAGGTACACTTACTACTCTTCACCCTCATTTCTATCTCATAAACCCTAAAAATTTTCACCTTTGGATTCTCTTTAGCTGTTCTAAAAGCTTTGATTACAGTTCTTGAGTAGAGTGATGATGAGATTTGGCTAGTTTCTTGATTAGAAGATATAGAAATCAAATGATATGATCATTTCACTAACTAGGGTTGACTTTTGTTTCTGTTTTAGGTATCTAAAGGTGATGGCTTTTCTGAGTAAATTCGGAAACATATTGAAGCAGGCCAATGCTCGTGGCTCTGTATCAAGCCCTACGCTTTTTCAAGCGATAAGGAGCATGTCATCTTCTAAGCTCTTTATTGGAGGTGCGTCTATCTAGCTCTAGAATGTCTCTGTAATTGTTTGGTTGTATTGTAATGCTATGTTTCTTGCTTAACTTTATGAATGTGTATTTTTGCTATATGGTAAGGTATGGAGTATGGTATGAATGAGGATAGCTTAAGAGAAGCTTTCAGCAAATACGGTGAAGTTGTGGAAAGTAAAAACACTGATCTATTTAGTATTTTTCTTGTAAATGTGGTTGTAGTGTGTTTTTGCTAATGAAACCTCTGTGTTTTCATTATACAGCAAGGGTTATTTTGGACCGTGAAACTGGTAGGTCAAGGGGATTTGGGTTTGTGACGTTTACCTCTGCAGAGGCGGCATCTAGTGCTATTCAGGCTTTGGATGGGCAGGTAGTTTATGTTGCTCATCTTTGAATCTTTGAAGGAGTAGTAATGTCTTTGAGTTTTTAGATGTCTTGCTGGATTCATTTTCATTGTTTTCATAGTATTCCAACTAACAATCATTTCCCGTTTTTAATCCTCCGTCAGGATCTCCATGGCCGTGTTGTTAAAGTGAGTTATGCACATGATAGAACAAGTGGCGGCGGTGGCTATGGAGGCGGTGGCTATGGAGGTGGTGGTTATGGAGGCGGTGGTGGTTATGGTGGCGGTGGCGGCTATGGAGGAGGTTCTGGTGGATATGGAGGTGGTGCTACTGGTGGATATGGTGCAAGCGGTGGCTATGGATCTAGCGGCAGTGGTTATGGTGAGGGTTCAACAGCAAATGCAGGTGCTGTTGGTGGCTACAATGGAAGTAGTGGCTATGATAGTGGCAATGCTTACGGTAGCAACAATGGTGCATTCGCTGGAGACAACCAGTTTGGTGGAAACCCTGTTGGCAACAGCTCTCAGTTTGGTGTTGGTGGCGGTGATGCTCAGTTTGGAGGCATGGAGAAAACTGAGATGGAGAATGGACCAGTGGGAGGTTTTGAAGATGACACTGATGTTGCCAAAAGAGCTTGAAGCAACTAGCAAAAATATCTTGTCAAGAGACTTGTCTTAAGAGATTTATCCACAACTTTCCATGAATGAGACATTTGTCTAGAAAACAATCCGCTTTTGCTTAAAGTAATTTCGTAGCTTGAGATTGTTTCATCTTTGCTTGTGGTCTGTTTTTGCATATCTACTAAACATTTATCAGACAGACTAATGCTGGCTAATTTTATAGATTGTGTTCAGTTGCTTCCATGAGGAATATCATCTTCTGAGCATTCACCACAACAGGAGACCCTTGTTTTGTTTTGTTTTCAACAATCTATTTAGTTTAAGATAATCATATCATGTTTACATAATTCTTCTTTCCATCTTTATTGTATTTGTCTTATGACAAATTGTAACATTTACAAATGTCATTTCAATATGACAAAAGTTTCATAATACCTGTGGTTTCAATAGTAACTGAATAACTCAGCTCCTAATAATCTTAGAGAGGTTTAGAAGCAGCATTGTCTATATAAGCCTCAGCTTCTTCTTCAGAGAATATTCCTCCTTCAACAAGTCCCCTTATCAAAGTGTTGGCATAGGCTTTTGCAGGAGGACTTAATGGCACCTCACCAGATAAGAACTTCTCAATAACAGAAAGTGAGCAACTGCAGACCAAAAAAAAAGTATTATGAAACTGCAAGAACCAATGAAGTTGGAAGAGAGCTGCAAAAAGAGAAACTTACGTCATTGTCAGTATAGGTACATCGCCTTCTCTTCCCAAGCAGACAACGTTTCCATACCAAGGAGCCTGTAAAAAAAATGTCCACACACACACACACTATTACATGGTTCTCTAAGCTGTATCAATCAACATTTGGTGTCTGACTAACCAGAGTAGCTTCAAGTGGAGTGGATCCATTGTTCTCTACTAACTTCAGAGAAGTTAGATCAAAGATTGGAGAATCAAAATCTATATTCAAGCCATTTTCCTGAAACAGAACATCGTTGAACTGCTCAAGACTGTTTCAAGAAAAAAAAAACTAGTGGAGATAAGCAGAAAGATCACAAAAAATGATTCTAATACAGTAAAAGAATGGTAAAACACTTAACGTGATTCTGTACAAACACATGTGAGTTTGATCATTGGGACTAGTAAGGGGATTGGTGAAAGCAACTCCTCCTGGACCCCAAACATTTGTAGATTCACGGCCAAAGAATAACCTGTTTGGATATGTTCCCCACGTTATTCCCTTTGGTGGTCTTTTATCCATTGAACCAACACATGGATTTGCCATTCCCTCCACCTGAAAGTAAACGTAAAGTGACAAGACCGAAGCCAAGACTTAACACCGTCAAAAACGAAACAAGGTTACTTACTTGTCCTCCTTGAATATAGCAAAGGAACCTTTGTTTCCACATGTTGGATCCAAAAGATGCATACCAAACATCAACCTTTGAGAGATCACTTCTCCAAGAAGATGTAGAAACCTTAGTATCTACTTGGTGGTTTTCAATGTTGAGTTTCGACATTTGATCTATGAGTTCATGAGTGTGGTCTTTAGCTTCAGAGATGGAGCTAGACGTAAGGACAATCTAGAACAAACAAACAAACAAAAGCACTTTTGTGATGTGAGATTCAGAGACTGGCTAAGAAAAAAGATCAAGAAAAGGTGCATAACTGGAGTAGGAGTTTTCTGATCAATCAGCTTTGATGACAAAGCATCTGCAAGTGAAGGCCAATAAGCACATAGCCTCTTACGTACCTAAAAACACAAGAAACATATGAGCTTTTTGTCAACTAGTAATATAGGCAACAGGAAAAAGTAAAACATTGCACCAATATGCAAGATTTGTTTCAGAGCTATACTGCTTTTATGACACGCCCTGTGGACATGAATGGGGGTGCTTCAGAAGAATCTAGAATTGGTTTGTCTTCAAGCAAAACTTGTACACATGCTAGTGAAGACTTTGCAATTGAGTCAAGATTGTAACCTCCTTCTAACGCCATCACAATCTTTCCTTGTGCAAACTCCATAAGCTGTAAGAACATTTGTGAAAACATATCAAATGAGGTCAAATCCAATTTTTAACTCAATAAGCAGTTCACTTCACACACAAACCTTCTTCAACATAACTGCATATCCATATGGAGTAACTCGGCAACCACCAAGTGGATCACCAATAGCTGTTAACAGAAAGTTAAAAAAAGTTACACACCTCTTAACATTACATAACCTTTTTAAAAAATGTACCTGCATCAAATCCAGCTGATAACAAGATGATATCAGGATTAAACTCCTTAGCCACAGGAATCAAGATATGGTCCCAAGCAGCAAGATAATCTGCATCTCCACATCTTCCTTGCTCCCATGGAACATTTATATTGAACCCTTCACCTGCACCTTCCCCAACCATGTTGTAATCTCCATCACCACCCCCTGGATAGAAGCTTCCACCCTCATACCTATGAACAGAGAAAACTAGTACACGAGGATCTTCCCAGAACATCTTCTGTGTGCCGTTTCCGTGATGCACATCCCAATCAACAATCAGAATCTTCTTGACACCAAGATCAGGCTGCATTTAAGAAAAGGCAAAGAGTTTGGAAAATGTGATGATAGCATTAAAAATCACTAGAAGTCCTTACTCTTTCATTGAGTAAATAACTAGCAGCAACTGCAACATTGTTGAATAAACAGAACCCCATGGCTTCATTTGCCTCAGCATGGTGCCCTGGTGGCCTGACAATAGCAAAGCCACTATCTAACTCTCCTTTGGCAACTTTCTCTGTCACCTGTTGAAATTGCAAGATCATTTTAAAAGCTCTCTAAAGAGACAGATCATTTTTATATGCATCATGTATTACCTCTACAACAGAACCAGCTGCAAGATATGCAGCTTCAGATGAACTTCCATTTAGATATATTGAATTCAAATATGAAGCAATCCTGTCTCTCTGAGAATCTTTTTTCTTTGTGCTTATATTCTTAATTAGATTAACATGGTTCTTTGTGTGAACCAATTGAAGATGGTTATCTTCTGCTTTGCTACCACCAAGAACCACACATCTGCAAAAGAAAAGAGTCATTGGCTTATATCCCCCAAAATTTTGAAGAAAATTACATAGACTCTCAAATATTTTGGTTTTTTTTTTAAATTAAAACATTCAATAAATTGCCTACAGCTCCCAAAATCTCAAACCGGCCCTATTGTCAATACACACAATGCCATTGAGCCGAACCAAAGAACTAATCTTATGGGAAGACTATATAGTCTACCTTATCTACCATATTGCTCTTAACTGATAGTCCTGTGAGTGAGATAACAAAGATGGAAGTAAAAAAAAAAAAGAAAAAGCAAGAGAAAGTGTTAGAAACTTTCTTCACAAACACCACAGTAGAAACATAACTCAAAACCCATAACCATCAATAAACAAAAGGTAGACACTTTATGAAAATTTTAAAGTAAAATAAATGTCTTTTGTGGAAACAAAGCTATGAAACAAATTAAGACCAGTTTCTAAGTTAAGAGCATACAAAAAAAAAACACCAAACTTGACTAAGTTTCAGCAGCAAGTTTCTTCATTTTCTAAGGCATTTATAACCACACAAACGTGTGAAGAGTAAAGTATAAACCTTTGAGTGACTCCAGCGAGCTGAAGGTTCTCCCAGATGACTCTGATACGATCAGGACACTCAGGGTGAGACTCGCCGTAAGGTGTGTCGTGTTTGCACATGGTCTCGTCGTAAACAAGACCAACCTTTTTTAGCTGTATTTTTCCATTGGATTCACCGGAGGTGTTAACGGAAGATTCTTCTCCGGCCATGTTCATCTGAAAGAGACGTGAAAGAAGTCTTATCTTGAGACGATCAAGGAGAGGACGTGAAGAAGGGCCAAGTAGATGCGAACTCTGAAAGATTCAAAGTATGTAACTTTATTATTTTTTATTTTACCTGTTATTTTAATCCCACTTGTGATTTATTTAAGCATGGATTGTGCAAGTAGTTTTGGTGGGGGTTATTGGTTTTGATATTTTGGTAGATTTATAAATATAATTGGATTTGGAAATCTTTGATTCATATATTGACTTCAAATCAAATAACCGGATTTCAGATGGATTTTAAAACCAAATTGGTAGATTTTTATAAATTAATCTAATGGATTTATGAGAACTGTGGCCTACTTGTGAAGATGCAAGTGGGAGAACCTTTTCCTATGTGAAAGAGATTTATTGGTAGAGGTCTAAGCATGTTACATTTAGAGTTGATTAGAATGTGAATTAGAACGTTAAGCTTAAAGTAGCTTGCTATTCGCAAACAAATCTAGTGCTTGGATATTCAAGTTCGTTTGTTTTTTGTGGTGCCACATGTATCAACTCATCTGCTAAACTTGGTACTCTGATTCTTTGAAAGTTTTTTCTGGAGTAACACGGTTAAAACTAATTTCACATGCTACACTTGCTACTCTACTTTTAATGATTTTTTTTATAAAGTCTTGAGGAAAAGGACTGAGTAAATGTAATTAATGTTAAGGATGAAATTTTAGTTCTAGGTGGTGTGGTTCTTTGCATAAACTGAAAATGATTATAGACTTAAAAAACAATAATACAAATCTAACAAAATAACAAGGTTTACCTCAATATTTTCTCCTTTATATTTTGATCTTAAAAATCCATGGAAATCCAGTTTGAAATCAAATCCATATACAAATCCTTGTTATTGAATAACACATGATTTCAAAATCTAATTTACAATTATAGAACCAATAACACTATATTTGGATATAGATTTTAAAATCATAAAACCAATAACACTAGATTTAATATGGATTTTCAAATCCATTAAAATATACAAACCAATAACACCCTCAGTTATTAAATTTAAGATTTTTAGATATTACTTTTTTGTATATTTCTGCTGTTTTTGTTTTTTTCTAAAATTTAATTGGTGAAGTTTTGTTTTTTATTATTTTTAAAATGTGACTTGTAAGTTCTGTATTTTTGAAAAAAAAATAGTAAGTCACAAATATATATATATATATATATATATATATAACAACAAACTATGTACATTTATTTATTTTAAAAATTCGAAAAAAACTTTAACAGTTAATATCATTTTATCCATATGTATTAAAAGCTTAACAAAAATATATATTAGATTTCAAATAAACTATTTTTAGTAACGATTTTGAATAGTTATTATTTTATCATTTTTTGGCTATATTAATGCATAAATCTAGGAATACTAAAAGCAAAAAAAAAATCTTACAGTTAAACAAACCAAGAAATATGGACTTTAGTGTTTGAGTAGAAATATGTGGTTGTTTACAAAATTTGGTTTCCCTATTTTTCGGAAATATATATCTTTAGAAATCTTGATTGGTGTAGAAAATGGTTTTAGAGACATCTTGATTGGTATGTGGTTGTTCCACACAAATAAAAAGAGAGAAACAAACCAATATGTGATATTAAAATTCATAAACAAGGAACATCTTAATTTTCTTACATCTTATCATTTAGGTATTTTAGAAATAAAGTGAAAGAGACTTAACAACTTCAAGTCTCAACCAATCATATGATCAGAAAAGGCACATGTTACTAGGACCAAGGGTTTTGAAGTAGCCAAGTATGGATGAGATCCAGGTTCTTGGTTAATTCAGTTAGTGTAGTCTGGTATTTAGTTACTTGGTTTCATTTTGTTAAACTAAATTAATTTTTTCTTTGTTTTTTTTGTTTTAGATAAATTTCAAACTTTAATGTGGTTAAATTTTATTTCGGTTAGAAATTATAGTTAGCTCGGTTAAACTTTTATAAACCTACTTCATATCATAGTCGAGTTTTATATTAAAATTACTAATTGAACTGAATTCATAATCTATCTTATTAAAAGTTTAAAATTAAAGCATAATCATCGTATAAGATAAATATTGCCTATATTTATTATTTTGTAAAAAAAGGTACAACTATATTTTTAACTATCACATATGTCAGCAAGGGACGATTATCTTTCCCAAAATAAGTACTCATGATGAGATATATTGGGAACAAATGCTGAAATAGGACAAAAGGACATCAAAAAATCTAAAATAGACCCTTCTTAATTTAATTTAATTTTGATTTTCTTTTTAAAAAAAAAACATAGGTAAAATATCCTTAAAACCTAAAACTTCTATTTATTTACAGACCCAACCACTAACTATCCAAACCCATTTACCAGATCCAACTAAATTCGGATCCCTAAGTCTCCAATTCATCTTCTTCTCCAACGCTACTTTCACCATTGTAATCTCCATTTTCTCATCACAATATCTTGAAAATCAAATGAAAATCAAATATTATTCATTTTATCATTCGTATACTATTTCATTTTCATCTATTCATCAGAACTCACAATCCAAAAATCCCATTTTTGGATAAAAGAAAAAACCCAGATTTTAACATGTTTAGTTTATCAAAAAAATTCTATCCTATAATCTAAATCAAATCAAAAAAATTTCTCAAAATCTTACAAATTTCTGTTCTTATCGCAGATCGATCGATTTCTCATCATTCTCAATTCATTTTCTCTCATATAAAATTGAATCTCACTTTCAAAGTACAAAATTTCCGACAACGAAAAAGTATTACTGGTATAACTAGTACAACTGAAATTGGTATAACTAGTACAACTAAAACGTGTATAACTAGTATAACTAATATAATTAGAAAAACTAGAACGTAGATAACTAGTATAGTTTTACAAGTAATATGGTTACATTAGGCTTTTGTTTGAGCTTTTAAATGATGTTGTAGAAGCAGATGATGTAGAATCAATGAAAATGTTGGTTTAATCTTATCAAGCATGAATTTGTCAAAATATATTAAACCTTTTTATATAATATTTGGACTAGTGGTTTTACCAGTTGTATTACTAGTACAACTGAAGCAGATGATGAATAATCAATGAAAATGTTTACATGATTTGTCTGGTTACTATGTTTTGTTGTAGATGATATAGGACATGAGTGATGCCATATTGGTTGAGGAATCAACTAAGGAGGATTGTAAGTGCAAGAAAAAGCTTGAGAATGATGCAGTTGAAAATGAGGGGGCAGTTGGAAATGAGGAGGAGACAACTAGTAAAACTACTCATCTTAATATTCAACTATAATGATTAAAACATGATACACGTTAAAACATGATGCACAATACAAGAAGAAATAACATAGTTGCACTAGTATTATAGTTGTACTAGTTTGTACATAGTTGTACTAGTTGTTGAGTTATACCGATTTGTACATAGTTGTATTTCGGCAGTGAAATAAAAAAAACTAGTTGTACCACATAAAATTTAAACTTACTCCAGTTGTACTATTTCTTTATGTGTACATGCATATGCCCTAATACAATGAAATCACCAGTTTTATTAAAATACATTTCATGTATGTTTTCCAAAAGTTATGTGGACAAAGAAGTTGACAAACCTTAAAAATATAAGGTAGACTATGCAAACTTATATGATTGTGTTATAATTACAAAAAAAAAAAATATAGCTAATCTAATTAACAAACCTTTAAATATAAGGTATGTAATGTAAAACTAATGTAACAATATAATAGTTGTAAAAGTTTTTGAGTTGTATCGGTTTGTACATAGTTGTACTAGTTTTTAAGTTGTACCAGTTTGTAAATAGTTGTACTAGTTTTTGAGTTATACCGGTTTGTACATAGTTGTACTTTGACAGTGAAATCAAAAACACTAGTTGTACCACATGAAATTTAAACTTACATGAGTTGTACCACCTTTTTATGTGTATATATGTCTTCGCCCAATACAATGAGATCATCGATTTTGTTAAAATGCATTTCATATATGTTTTCCGAAAAATATGTGGACAAAGAAGTTAACAAACCTTAAAAGTATAAGGTATATCATATAAACTTATGGAGTTGTGTAATAACTTTCAATTTTTTTTTTCAAAACTTCAAATATATTAGGAGAAAAGAATCTGACTACATACCACTTTGGATGTTTGATAGTGTTCTCATATGGAATACCAAATTGGCTTGCCAATTTTTGAAATGTCCAAGTTGTACCAGTTGTACTAATAATACTCGTTTAATATATAATAAAAGATTATAACAATTATATCAATTGTTTATATGTTTAATTTTAGAAGTTGTACCAATATTTTCATAATAATATAGCTAATTTACTTAACAAACCTTAAATATAATATATATATATATATATAATGTAAAATTAAGAGTGTAATGTAATAATTTAACAAAAAAAATAAAAATAAAAATAAAATAGATGAAATTTTGTCATCATATACCAATTAGGATATATGTTTGTTCATTTCATATGTAAAACCTGATTATTAGTCGTTTCAATTATAATAGTTGCATATTGTACATGAATTATAACATTTATATATTAGTTATACTAGTTATATAACATGTTTAGTTATACGAGTTATACTAGTTGTATCCAGTTTTCTCTTATCATCCGACGGTTCAGATTACATCTCGAATTATCTAATCTAATGGTTTACATTGAACTCTCATTAATGGTAAAATGGTCATTTTACACCCTTTGGTCCATGGTAGATTTTTTTTGGATGTTATAGATTAGTTTTGGGTGTTTTGTCCCATAATAGATTTTTGTCCGATATATTGAGCAATATGATTTGTACATGTTGTCTCAAGGGATTTGATCATTTAACATGAAACCAAGAATCCAAGATGGTACCAACCAAGAACATGGTTTGTGTTTATTAACATATTGGTTTTGCTTTGATAATACTACTCTTTAATCGGTCTTCTGATAATGACGATGACGAACAGAGACAACTCATCTTCTAGTGATTATGATTCCCCTCACGTAAACATCTCTTATGTCCAAATGGTTTAGTATTTTATATTTGTTATGTATTTGGTGATAGATACATTCTCATAATTGATGAATGACAGCTTCAGTCTTTTTAAAAAAATATTTCTTCATGGGTCAACATTTTACTAAATTATTACTAAATCCAAATGCTTAAAAGCGTGACTTCAACATTTCTTAAAGATTATATAATGAAATGACAACATAACGTGCGGTGTTGAATAAACAACTTAGGAGGGAAAACAATATTTTAACGACCGAATTAATCAGTGATACAAAATTATATTTTTAAGAAAAATATTCTAAAATTCTAGAATGAAGAAACAATAAACAACATTTCCTTAAACTGTGAACATTAGCTCAAAGATTCACGATTAACACCAGAATGATATCTTTTATTAGAGAATTCCCAGTGTTGTTATAGAGTTACAAAAAAAAAAAAAACTGATTTTTCAAAAATAATAGTCGAAAGAATTACATTCCAATATCTAAACGGATTTATTAAAACTAGTTTTTTAATATGCTATATGCAAATTGAATAAAGCACAAAACTATCTTAGAACCAATTATTTGAACAACATATATAACGTGAAATCCTAAACCGTCTCTCAAGACACAACATAAAAACAATTTTTACATCTTTGTTAAACCATTAAAATCAAGCTGGTGGATCCAAATGAAGATACTGGCGTGAAATCAATACAATGTTTTTTTTGGTAAAAAATCAATACAATGTTGCAATGGTTTATTCCATTTAATATGTTTTTGCTTTATGTTGGCCAATAATAATGACTTTGTTTTTTATTCTGTAGGGTGGAAAGATTCATGCCTCTCGAATAAAACATATATGATATTTATACTTTTTCATGTAAAATTATAAAGAAAAAAAAAAAACATATACAAGTGCACGAATCAAACTTTAGTAGAGTTTAAACTAGTAAAAACTTTAGTAGAGTTTAAACTAAAAACCGAGAATATCAATCAGTTCAGTTTGGTTCTGCCGGTTTGTGTAAAAATCCCAGGCTGAATTAGAAGCATGGATGGTTGTAAAAAAACCTTGCAACACTGATCTTTGCCAGTAAACTAGTAAAAAGAAGTAACAGGAAGAATAAGATCATCTTACAACAAAACACATAACATAGAGAACCAAACACACACATACAAAGATTACTACTAAGCTAGACCAATGTCCTAGAGACAACAAGTTAGTTCACCAACAAAACAAGAAAACATTCACATCCTTAAAGCAGCATCAAGAAATAACAGAATCCACTCAAAGAGATCAAGAGAAGGCATGTGAAAAATTTGCTTGAGTTCTTGAGAGCAAAGGCACTGCTTTCTATTGAGTAATCCGGATTAATCCCTGTCCCAGTGGCTCCTGTGCTGTTACCAAAAACTCCATTGGTTGAGGTTCCTGAATAAGGATTGTTGCCACCAGGAAGTGTGGTGGTGGTTGAGCTGCCTTTTGGATTGGTTGTGCCTGGTGTCACAGTGGTGCTGCCTCCAGAGCCGCTGGATAAGAGAAAATAAGACAAGAAACAATCACTCTGGGAGTCAAATTCATGCTATAAACTCAAAAAAAAACTCTAACGGAATAACTTGAAATTAAATTCATATTATGAAACTCTAACAAAAGAAAAGAGTCAGTTGAAAGCATACCTGGCACTAGTTGGGAAGGTACATCCTGAATAACCTGTAAAAGAACAAAAAAAGTTTTCAACTCAAAAAATGTTAATACTAATTGATTATTATCCACAGAATTGAAGCTAGAAACTAGTCTTCATCAGGCATTTGGCATTGGCATATCCAAAGTCTTAAAAATCACTCCAAAAATAGCAATTAAAGTTTCTTTAGCATTGTGTTCTCCTTGTTAAAGTTCCTCAAATGTACATTGAATATTTTAAGATGAAGAAAATCAAGAGAGTAGTGAAAATGAGGATGGTTGAGACCAACTTGGATCAGTGTTAGTTGGAGTGGCAGTGCCACTGAAATCACAAGTGCCTGGAGCTTGATGCTTCTTTTGGAAGAAGCTGTTGACTGCATAGTTGCAATGAGACCTAACATTGTCAGGGTTAAAGCAAGGTGCTTTTGGGTGAGTGGGATTACAGTCTGCTCCATTTCCACAGGCATAGTCTAAGGTGTTCTGCAACACTGTATCACTCAGCCCTGTTTTGCACACACACCATGAGGCACCTACATACACCAAAAAGACAAGAGGCAACATTTGGTGATTGATTTAAGATACCATGAGACTCTATCTTCATTGTTCTATGTTTAAGCCAACAATATTTAAGGAAAAAATTGCAACTCAGTTTGAGTGGTTTCATCTTTCAAAAGTTGTAACAACAGAGCCGAAAATACTTGGCAAGATGAAGTGAGAAAAGAGATAAGACTAATGAATGCTAAGAAAATCTGAAGACGAGTGGAAGTTCTTACTAGATTGGCCAGAAATGGCTAGAAGGAGAAGCGAAAGAACCAGAGCAGACATAGCTACGTTCAGACAAAATGTCACAGTTGTTCTTCTCTAAAGAGAAAATAATGAAGATAGAGACCTCTAGAGCAAGAAGAAGAGAAAGTGGAGAAAACAGTGAAAGAGTGGCTGCTCGCTACTTGTGGTGTGTCGTCTTTCGTATATTACATTGCAACAATCGGTGTTCATTTTAAATATTGATTATCAAATTTTTGTTTGGTTGGCTCCTTTTTTTTTCTTAAATTATATTCTCACCAACCCAAGAAAATGAATACTGTCTGAAAGACGAAATGATCAAAATCCATATCATGATCTGATGATTCTTTTTCTATTTAATTAAAACGAGTCAAGTTCCAGACTGCATCATCATATAGAGAAAAGAGTTGATGAAACGGGAGAGTGAAAGGTTTAATGGAAAATTGTTAGTCTTCGTCACTGTCATAAACAATGGCCATACGACGATGAGTCGGAGCTTTTCTCGGAGGAGACTCTTCCTCCTCGTCTGATTCAATCCCTTTCCTTTTCCGGCTACTTCCACGTTCCTTCTCTGCCCGACCTCCCTGCATTCACCACAACATAACATTACAATCTTATGAATGATCCTTCTCATTACCACAATATATAACACACTCTTACCTCTTCTTCTTCATCTTCTTCTGAATATCTGTTAGCTTTTCCATCTTCCTCGTACTCATCTTCTTCCTCGTACTCATCTTCTTCTGGTTCCTTGACTCTTTTACGTGAACGTGGCCTTTCCTCTTCCTCTTCTTCCTCTTCTTCAGTCTCATACTCTGATTCCTCTCTCTCGCTCTCTGAATACTCCGCTTGACGCCTTGACGGTCTCGCTGAACTCAGTGAAGACCTCCCCGGAAAGCCTTTCTGGCTCTGGTTAGGAGAAGCGGTTAAACCATTATTATATTATTTGCATTCCGCAAGGTATGAATATGTTTCGCTTACCTTCTTGGCGTTCATAATTCTTCGTTCCCGTTGCGCTTCAGCTTCAAGATCCTCCTCATAGCCACGGTTTGAGCGGTGAGAACCATAGTGATCTGTCTCTTCATCCTGCTTCCAACAAACAATTAGTCACTTCTGGATTTTTTTGCTTTTAAAAATGGAAAGAACACAAACCTCTTCGAGAGCATCTTCTAAGTACCCAGTGGAAAGTTGTCTCCTAGCAACAGGAAGTGGATACTTGCGCTTGATTTTCTCCCTTGCTTGACTCAGCTTTGTACTAGCCTTGAGGTTTTGGCTTTCCATCTGGTGATTTTCATATATTATCAAATGAGGAAAAATCTACAAACTCAGACAATGAAATCACAATTGGTTTGTTGGAGAGGTTACCCTTTCTCTCTTCTCCTTCTCCCTCTCAGGGTCAATGTCAGTAACACAGTTCTTAACTTTGAACGCCTTCTTTTCCCTCGACTCGACAAGGGCAGTCAAAAGCCTATGGGAATTTGACGTTAGCGATGATGGAATAAATCTCATTTTCTTCAAAATTTTCCCTTGCGATTGAAGGATTCCCTACAACGACATTCAAATAAGGTACGAGTTGAGATTTACTTTCAGAACCCTGTAGGAGACATTTGATTTTCCCATGAGAATCATATGGGTTCTATGAAAGTAACATTAAGTAGAAGGCATGACGAAAGAACACCTTTTCATGTTTGATTAAAAGGTGATTCTGGTCTTGTCGTGCATCTTGTTCAGTTATATCAAGAACTTCGTTTCCTATCAATAGCTGTAAGCTTCCATCTGACCACCTTACAAACCGAGCATTGCTTTCTGTCTGCATATGAACATAACAGGACATTAGTGGGACAGCAGCAGAAGTAAGGAACATAAATGCAATAAGCAACGGACCCAACCAAACAAAGAAAGACTAAAAGACACTTGTTTATAGGCAGGTTTCCAATGAAGCCTAAAGGGTTAGAAGAACTACTCAACAGAGACAATCTTAAAATCACACTCCAGTCATCTTAACACATGCTCGTAGTGAATAACACAAAGGAACCTAATAAGGAATACATGAACTGCATCAAGGGTACGTATGTGCCTGTATTAACATCATGAAACTTATGATAACTATGATCTATCAGCAAAATATTTGTAACTTACTAAGAAATGCCAGTTCATACCAATAGGAAAAATACAAAGCAACATCACACAGCTTTGACGGAAAACTTAAAAAGCGAATAGGTTTGAAGCGTACACTTACATATGTTTTACCATCTCGACCCTTAACAAACCTATGGCGCACAATATTATTAACCAGACGAATACGCGTCTTGTCTCCATCTCTCTCAAATGTGTCTTCTTCAACAAATGTCTTGGCATCAAATGGATTTGGATCAATCCCCATGATACTGGAAACTTTTATCATGTTCAACTGAAATATATCAAAGAGAAAAAAGGTAATAGGCAAAGTTAAACTCATTCTTTGGGGCTAAAAAATGGGATTTCAGATTTTAAGACCGAATAGCATTCTCGTGTACAACAAATGACCCTTCATGCTAAGTAAATGCGGAAGCATGTTTCAAAGCAATGGTTCTCCACACAAAGCAAAGGTCAGCGGAGAATATTTTAGCAACATAAAGCACATATACCTTTTCGGGATCAGCTGGAGGAGGGCGGAAAGGAACTTCCAATTCCAAAGGGGGGCCAACTGGTCTGTCCCTATGCCTGACATCAACACGCTCATCTTCTGACTCGTAGCGAGGATCCTCTTCAGGGACCATATCATCATCAAGCATCGTATCGTCAGCTCTCTGATCTTTCTCAGAGCCCTCTTCATCATCAATTGGCGATCTCTGAAAAATTTGAGAATCTCAGCATACAAACGTGCAAAGTCATACAGTTTCTAAAAGAAAGCAGAAACTGGAAAAGAAAGAGTCATCCTGTAAACTCACAGGTTCATCCGCCTCAACGTCATTCCGAACATACTCTTCTGCATCTTCATCATCCGAAGATCCAAATACGTTACGAATGTTAACGTCTGATTGTGCAACAGGAGCCTCTTCCTTCTCCTGACTAGGTGATCTACACGGAATTGCCATTTTCCATTTACAACAGACAAAACCATAAGCAACATAGGCAATCCCAGGAATCTCAAATACTCTCAGATAACTAGCAACCATTATCAAATACACCAAAAGAACAATGCCAAGTTCAAAGGAAGCCACACAACAGACAAAGTAAGCAATCCAAGGAATCTCAAATACTCTCAGTCTTAGAAAAAAACACAGTACCAAATTCAAAGGAAGCCACACAACAGACAAAGTAAGCAATCCAAGGAATCTCAAATACTCTCAGTCTTAGAAAAAAACACAGTACCAAATTCAAAGGAAGCCACACAACAGACAAAGTAAGCAATCCAAGGAATCTCAAATACTCTCAGTCTTAGAAAAAAACACAGTACCAAATTCAAAGGAAGCCACACAACAGACAAAGTAAGCAATCCAAGGAATCTCAAATACTCTCAGTCTTAGAAAAAAACACAGTACCAAATTCAAAGGAAGCCACACAACAGACAAAGTTGGCAATCCAAGGAATCTCAAATTCAAAGAAAGCCACACAAAAACTAGACAAAAGGGGTGTACCTTGGTGGACTCCTTCTCTGATCAACCTCTTCATCTTCAGACTCATACTGCCTCTCCCCAGACCTCTCTGATCCACTCCTCTCAACAACATCTCGTCTCCTCCTCGTATCTACTCTCTCCTCATCTCCTTCTTCTTCGCTTTCCTCCTGCATATCAGCAACATCACCTTCCTGTACACTTTCCTCCCTCTCACCTTCACTTTCCCCATGATCAGGCCCCACATCTCCCTGTTCTCCATCAGACTCAGCTTCCGGCTCGCCGTGAACTTCAATCTCAGCTTCACCTTCTTCCTCAGCCTCCACCCCTCCCTCTGCCTCATCCTATTGTATCAATTCAAGAATCAGACTACAAACACACGTCTCAAAGCTTTCATACGAAGCTCAATTTACTCCTAAAATAACTTCCAAATTTTCCAATGATCGCTGAAACATATCGCAATTACCGAAACAGTACGAGAAACGGAATCAATCGTTAGGGAATAAAAGAAACCCTACGCCTAAATTTACTTACAAGGATCACTGAAACCTAAACATTGCAAGAGACTTAGTGGCGAACAATACGAGAAACGGAATCAATCGTCAGGGAATGAGTGAAACCCTAAGAGCTATTATTAGAGAGGGAGAGAGAGAGAGAGAGTTACGGAGGGATAGTGTGGTTGAGGATTGGATTCATGTTCGGAGTCGATCGCTTCTGCTTCTTCTTCTTCTTCTTCCTCGGAGTTATCTCCGAAGAGATTTTGCATCATCTCTAACCTCTTTACTTCTCCCGCCACCATCTTCGCCTCTCTTTCTCGTGATCTGAGCTCCGACGTAGGGTTAAACTGTTGACGATTCCAAGTTTTTGTTTTCGAGTTTACAGAAAAAAAAATAACAAAAAAAAAGAGATTAATATGACAAATAATGGGCCAGAAAATATTTGAAGGCCCATGAGTCCATCATCGAAAATAATAAGGGTGGTTAGGGAGAGTTAAGAGCATGATTAACCCTAAAATTTTTTATGAGTATTTTTTAAAAAATTTAACTTTAAAGTAAAAAAAATAAAAAATAAACTAATAGCAGGCCGACACATATCCGTACAGATCCCAAACAGTGTAAGAAACACTCAGTAATTAATTCTTCATTTATAGTTTTTGTGATTGATTCTCAAAGGTTTTAGGGAACCCACACACTAAAAATCTACTAAGAACCCCAATAATAACCCCATAATCATGTTAAGAATTAATATTACAAAAAATGGGCCAGAAATGTTTAAAAGGCCCATGAGAAGTCCATGATCTAAAATAATAAGGGTAATTACGTAATTTTCCAACGCCTTCCTTCACAGGAAACTCCTAAAAACCCTAATTTCGTTTTATCTTTACTCTAAAGCTCAGCGCCGACGCCGTATCACAAGGAGGAGAAGGAGAAGAAGGAGGAGCAGCAACAATGACAGGCAAGACGGTGAAGGATGTGTCTCCACACGAGTTCGTCAAGGCTTACGCTTCCCATCTCAAGCGCTCCGGAAAGGTAAAATCATATTAGGATGTCGTAAAACCAAGTCACTGTCTGTTTTTTGCTTTTGATTTTATTACAAGATTGTGTCTTTTTTGATGTGTAGATTGAGTTGCCAGCGTGGACAGATATTGTCAAGACTGGTAAACTTAAGGAGCTTGCTCCATATGACCCTGACTGGTACTACATCAGAGCTGGTATGTATATACTCCAAACATCTTTGTCACTTGTGTAATAACGGTTATGTTGTGTCTTGTATTGTTTGTGAGATTGAAAGTGTACTCCTTTTTTTTTTGTTGTAAAGCATCGATGGCGAGGAAAGTGTACTTGAGAGGTGGACTTGGAGTTGGTGCGTTCCGTAGGATCTATGGAGGAAGCAAGAGGAACGGAAGCAGACCACCTCATTTCTGCAAGAGCAGTGGTGGTGTTGCTCGTCACATTCTTCAGCAGCTTCAGACTATGAACATTGTCGACCTTGACACCAAAGGGTTAGTTGTTTACATCATCATCATCTCTTTTATTTGTGTATTCCCTGGTGTAGTACAAGGGAATTGTAGAAACATGATTTAAGCACAGAGCTCTAATGACATCAAAGTCGATAGAAAACTTGTGTAGTTGCATAAGAAGCTACTTACTTGTCCAATTTTGACGTGTTGTTACTGCTCTTGGGGGATTATTGACTAAGCTAGTGATACTTGTTTTGATGTAATTAGGGGAAGGAAGATAACATCAAGTGGTCAGAGAGATCTTGACCAAGTTGCTGGAAGGATCGCAGCAGAAGCAATCTAAAATCAAAAGATCATCACAATAGCTGATCGTCTTTTCCAGAGTTTTTTATGTTTTCTTTTTTGAGTTTTAGTTATATGGAATGAGTTGCATTTGAGAAACCATGAATGGATGTAAACTTTTCATTTTTGTTTTTATGAGATTTTTTTCACTTTAATCTCAGCTACTTTTGGCTTGATATTTGATGTCAATCTCTAATTTCACAACCAAACAAATATTTACTAATTCGTTTAATCTAATTCATATTTATTGGACTGTTAGTTAAAAATATTCTATCAGGAAAATGAAGGATATTAAATGTATAATCAGAATATTATCGTAATAACTGATCAAAATTTGTTAAACAATACTACTTCACTAATGAATCCAAATTTCGAGTTTTATTGCTGATTACCGATGTGCCTTTCACTACAGCAGTATCTCTCGTTGTCTGATTGGCGGGCGCTTTAAATCTGCTGACGTGGCTTAAGAATAATAGAGTAGCTCGTAGTACAACGAAAGTAAATGAAAAAGCTGGCTTAAGCTAAGAAAGCTGAAAGGTTTCTTCATCGACATGGTAAAGCAATAAACTTCATTGTCAAAGCAGATGTGACAATAAACTTCATAGTCATACCTTAGTAGAGAAGGAAAGCCGCGAGAGAGAAATAGTAATCATCTGTTCACACTTGCTTCATCTTATTAAGAACATCACAACTTTGCATCTTTCTATCTAGAAAAAATACAGCGATGATGACTATGGCAGAGAACTCCAAGGCCAAAACATCTGTTTGGTGGGATATAGAGAACTGTGAAGTTCCAAAAGGATGGGATGCACATGCTATTGCGCAGAATGTTGCTTCTGCTTTGTTGAATATGAACTACTGTGGTAGTGTCTCAATCCTTGCTTATGGTGACACTAATCTCATCCCTCACCATATTCAGCAAGCTCTCTCTTCTACTGGTGTTGGACTTAATCACGTCCCTGCAGGTTTTTATTTCTCCCTAAACACTCCTTTTGAGTTTAATTACTGTTAATTGGTTTTTGTTTCTGTTCATGTTCTGTTTTGTGGTCTTAACAGGAGTGAAAGATGCAAGTGACAAAAAGATTCTAGTGGATATGTTACTATGGGCTGTAGACAACCCTGCACCAGCCAACATCATGCTCATCTCAGGTGATAGAGATTTCTCCAATGCTCTTCACCAGCTGAGTATGAGGAGGTACACCATTCTTCTTGCTCAGCCTCCACGTGCCTCGGCTCCGCTTGTTTCTGCTGCCAAAAATGTATGGCTTTGGACAAGCTTAGCATCTGGAGGTCCTCCTCTTACAAGTGGTGAAGAATCCTCTCAATCCAGCAAACCAACTGGTTCAACTTCTGTTACTGGAGATAGTAATGATCACAAAACCAAAGATAACCATGTTCTAAGAGGAGCCACAGGAGAATCTGTTATTTCTTCAGATAAAAGACACACATCTCAGGTAAACTACATGCTTACTTACTTGCTGTTGTATCTTTACTTTGAAGACAAACTAAACTATATATGGTTTCTTTATGCAGGATTCGTTTGTAACCAGTCACAAAGCTCATGCTAGTGTTTCATCAAAACCTATACATGAAGCAGATGTTGTGGAACCTGTGTTTTGTACTGTTTGTCAGATGAGCTGCATCAATAAGGAGGCATATGCAAATCACATATATGGTAAAAAACACCGAAACAACTTGGAGCTGCAATCAGGTAAGTTTGAAAAGGTGTCACAAGGGGCGGTTTTGCTTCCTAAGGAGGTTCTGACAAGAGAGGAGAATAAGAAAAAGACGAGGAGAAGTAGGACAAGACCAAATGCTGGATACGCTTGTCGTTTGTGCAATGTGGCATGCCAGAGTCAAGTTGTCTATGATTCTCATCTCAAGGGTCAGAAGCATGCTGCCATGCTGAGTAAGGCAAGATTTTCTAACTTGAGAATACAAAATTTTACAGTTGGATCAGACACTCATTGATATATTACATGTTTGGTATATTACAGTTGGATCAGACACTCATTGATTCTAAGAAGCTTCAAGAGAAAGGTGTTGGAGAAAAGTATAAACCAAGAGAAGTAAGTTCAGAGCCTAGGTTTCAGTCTCAAGACAGTCAAGAGAACACCAAGTGGGTTGAGAAGCATGTTGCCATGGTGAATCAATCAGAGGCAAGTTTCTTAACTTTTGGTAACACATATCTGAGAGTCTTAACTCTTATAAAACAAAGAAAGAATGAAGTCTTACATAATAATGTGGTTGGATCAGGCATTACCAACAGAACTTAAGTTACTGTCACCAAACACTCAAGAGAAGACCAAATGCTTGGAGAAGCAAAGTGAAGAGCTCAGAGAGATACTACTTGGCACCTCAAAAAGCAGAGTAAAAGAAAAGTTTCTGAGAACTAAAGACCAGGCAGAGACTGTTAACAACAAACAGCTTTTAAATGAAGAAGCAAGGTAAGTTTTGTTAACTTGTGGACTTTGCTTAGTATGTCAAATATAGAAACTCTTTTTACCTTTGATAATATTTATGAAACTTGTGTTACAGAGAATGTTTTGATGGCATTGTCAAGCCTGTAAACCAGTCTGAAGTAGCAACAAAGAAGCAGAAGGAGCGCCGAGCAGTACAAGCTGGATCTAAGCTTTGTCATCTTTGCGTAGTGATTTGTGATAGTCAGGGTTTTTCCACACTGGTTTGTGATGAGAAACATCATTGGCCACGAGAAGAAAGTGACCAAGGGGAACAAGAAGCTAAAGAGGAAGTGAAGAAGATAAACGCAGTATCTGAGAACCTAGTGCATGTTTTCAATGGACTGAATCGAGAGTCTAGAATACTCCAAGAATCGAGGTAAGAGCCAACAAACAAACAAGGGACTTGTGTCTTGAATTCTAATCAGTGTCTAATTACTTACTTACTTTGTATGTTTGGTGTTACAGAGGATTTTTGGATGTGATTCCTGAGAGAGTACAAGTGCTACCAGATGTGAATGTGACTGTGAAGTTGGAAGATGAGTTCAAGCATAAACAGGAACGTGAAAAGAAGTATGTAGGACGTAAGGAGCATCCCGGAGAGGCTGCTAAAAGGGAAGAGAGTAAGAAGGTCCAAGTTGATAACTTGTGGACACGCCTTTGGTGGGGAAAGAGTTAGAAATGTTCGCATTGAATGGAAACTATAATATTGTGAACGTTAAATATTGTGAATGGTATGTTTATGTTGGCAGCAGTGATGGTTGTGTGTGAAACCAATTATTAGGTGAAAATATGATTAATTGGATGAGTTGGTGTGTTCTAAATATAATGCTAAGATTCAAATGGACTTGAAACAAGAATTAAACACAGCTTTTCTTGTGTGATCTTTGTTGTTTTAAACTCAAATGGTTCTTATCATGTTAAATATATTTTATGTACTAGTGAACTTGAGTTCAGTGATGTTCTTGGTCTTGGAAGGATATGCCAAGTAAAACCTAAAGAATCTTCTCTACACCCTCACAAGTGGAAATGAATAAGAGAATCATCAAAATAACCTAACTAATTCTCCAGAAAATCAAAGCTAGTGACAATATTAATATCAACATGCAAATTCCAGACCAACGTCGAGTTGGCCTAGTGGTAAAGGGGTTGCGACTGTAACTTCCGTCACTTGAGTTCAATTAACGGTGGGAAAAACTATTTACAATGCTTGGAATCCCAACAAAGAGGTGAAACCACCTTTTTTTTGACAAAAAAAAACATGCAAATTCCAGTAAACTTCATATGCAAGCAAGAACCACTTCCCAAATTACATTACATAACCAGAAACTGAACCGGGAAAATAAGATCTTAAACCCGGTTGATATAATGGGCCAAACATTAAGGCCCATTTCTTTATTAACGTGTATGCGTTGGCACATTCGTCGACAAGAAATAGTAAACAAAACTCATTCCTCTTTCTTCTTCAATTCAATCTCTTTCATCCGACAGAAACAAAAAAAAAAAAACCTAAGTGCTGCTTCAAAACTCCATATTCCTCAGCGAGAAGAAAATCTATAACTCCGAGATTGGTCTCACCAATCTCTCTTTCTATATTTATATCTCCTCGCTGGGTACGGTTACGAGCTTTTCTCCATCCCTTTGTGAACAATCCTTGAGATTCATATGTTTTGTTTGTGAAATTGGTTCTGATCTATGTGAAAATTAGGAGTCTTTGATTGGTTATTCTTTGATTCGATTGATTAGTCTTGTGAGGGTATTGTTTCTAATTCGATACCTTTTGAGATTTTACGACCAATAGTGATTGTACTTTTGGTGTCTTGTAGTAGGGTTTTAACTTTATTACACAAAGCTGAGGTTTTATGTGTGTGAGATTATTGAGTTTGTGTTATTACATCTCAAAGATATTGGCTTTAGTGTTTTTTTTTTGTTTTGTTCATATATTATTTACCATAGAGATTTTAAGTTAAATACAAATGATGGATTTTGGTGTCTTGTAGTAGTGTTAGATGAATAAGAGAAGCTGAGATTTTATGTGGGTGAGAGTGTTGGGTTTGTGTTATTACATCTCAAAGACAATGTTCGGATTTGTTTTTTTTTTGTTTGGATCATATGGTTGCATAACTAATTTTGTTTTTTTTCTCTTTGGGTTTGTGTTATTACATCTCAAAGACAATGTTCGGATTTTTTTTTTTGGATCATATGGTTGCATAACTAATTTTGTTTTTTTTTCTCATTGGGTTTGTGTTATTACATCTCAAAGACAATGTTCGGATTTGTTTTTTTTTTTATTGTTTGGTTCATATGGTTGCATAATTAATTTTGTTTTTTTTTTCTCATTGGCAGGTCTGTTGGAATAGCATCTCAAGTCTCAATGTCGTGGAGGATTCTCCATAATCACTAGGCTTCTCATCTTTTTCAATCTCATGCTCATATTCTCTTCACTGTCTATGGCGTTTACTCTCATCTCTCAAAAGCTTTGTGTCTTTGGCCCTGTTTTGAATCCTTCTTTCCCTTACTGCATCGCCAATCACTCCTCTGCCTCCCGTTAATTCCGTTTCTCTAAGCTACATTAGTCTCCTCCTTCCTTCAGTGTCTACTCTTGATATTGTGTGTGATACTTGCTTTAGACATTTTAAAGTATCTTGCTGAGTGAGTTTTCTAGTCTTCTACTTCTACTTGAACTAAAGCTCAGAGCTATAATGATCCAAGACCAGCCAGTGGTTGTATTCTCTCTCCGGCGTAACTCTTTCAGACGCCGATCATCCATAACCAACCTCGATGATAGAGGCTGGACTCCACTCCACATCAAATCTCGAAAAGGAGATCTAAAATCTGTCAAGCAGCTGCTAGACCAAGGGTTTGATGTTAACGCTCTAGCGTGGGGACCAAAGTCAAAAGGAGTGTCTCCTCTTCACCTTGCAGCCGAGGGAGGTCACATTGAAGTCATGGACTTGCTCCTAGAACGTGGAGCTAATATTGATGCTAGAACTTGGGGCTCATGTGGGTGGACTCCTCTCCATGCTGCGGCTAAAGAGAGGAAGAGAGAAGCTGTGAAGTTTCTTGTGGAGAATGGTGCGTTTTTGCCTGATGATATAAGTGATACGAGGTTTAATCCACCGGTGCATTATTGTCATGGATTGGAATGGGCGTATGAGGAGTTGAAGAAGCTTAACAGCGAGTCTTCTTCTTCTGGTGGAGACACATCTTCCAGTTCTGAGAACTGAGTCTTGTTGCTATGTTTTTTTTCTTTAAGTCTTGCTTTTGAGAAACTCTCAAGTCAGAAACATGTTATCGTTTGCTATGACAACTCAGAATGTTATGGTTTGTACTCTTTGGTTTTTTTGTGTGAAACTAGTGGTATGCCATGATGCATAATAAACCTTATGTGTTTGATATTTGAGCTTTGTGTTTGAGAAGGTTTGGTTTTGATTAACCGGGTTCTGGTTTAATTGGTTTTGATTTCATCTGAGTTATATATGATTCTTCCAACGGTGGTTTATTAGTGTGGAAAATTAACTAATCATATCTCTATTTAAAATGTGTTCAAGTGGTGTGTAAACCTAATCAACTCAGGTTAGATTTTCTGTTTACATTGACATAAGTGGGTCATTACCAGAACCGGTCGGTGAAATACCGGTTTTGACTATTAACGAACTCTGAGAAGAATATGGCTTTTATATATGTTTTTTTAGTTTTGGTAGCCTCTTAGATCCGTTTTTTTCTCATTCAAACAATGGCTTCTTCTCGCTGTGAGCTACTTGTGATCTGTGTCTTGTCTCTCTTCTTTGTTCTTGCTCACTCCAAGACGTTGAAACGTGATGGTAAAGTCTTCTGTTCCCACCTTCTTGCTTTCTGTTTATTGGATCCTCTTCATTTCTTGTTTTTCTCTATCTATTAACAGAGAGTTATATGTGAACAATGAATAGATCTGATCATATAAGTCGAGTTCTATCTGTGTATCTTTAGCTGGTTCTTGTATATTATAAGCTCATGATCACCTTTCCTCAAACTGTGTTGATCCTCTGGTGCACAGTGAAAGCTTTGAATGAAATAAAAGCCTCTTTGGGATGGAGAGTGGTGTATTCATGGGTTGGTGATGATCCTTGTGGAGATGGAGGCCTTCCTCCTTGGTCTGGTGTCACCTGTTCTACACAAGGAGACTATAGGGTTGTTACAGAACTGTAAGCTCCACTTTCTTCGTCTGTATCAAACCTGATTTGTTTGAATGAATTATATAACTTAAATTTGTCTGATTTTACAGAGAAGTTTATGCGGTTTCTATTGTTGGACCGTTCCCTATTGCAGTAACAAACCTTTTGGATTTGACAAGACTGTAAGTTCCTTCCTGTCACCTTTATTATGTGGTGACATTAGGTAGATTTATTGTGTGATGGTTATATTAGAAGTGGTTTTTGGTTTGTATGATTTTGCAGGGATCTACATAACAACAAGCTGACTGGTCCAATCCCTCCACTGATTGGGAGATTAAAACGGCTCAAAGTACTGTATGTTCCTTGTGCTCTTACAGTGATTGTATTGCTGATTTTTCTGTCTTTTTCACTTTACCTTTGTTTATTGTTCTGAGACTTGAATGTGACAAGAGTTTGTTATTTGTGTCACTAATCACTTTTACTCTGTTGTAACAATTAGGAACCTGAGGTGGAATAAACTACAAGATGTGATTCCCCCTGAGATTGGGGAGCTGAAGAGGCTAACACATTTGTAAGTACCTCTTGTTTACCTTCTGATCAGTGTTCACTTTAGTCCAAATGAAACCATACTTTCTTTTTTGTTTTCGTAAAGGTACTTGAGCTTCAATAGTTTTAAAGGAGAGATTCCAAAAGAGTTAGCAGCACTTCCGGAGCTTCGGTATCTATACCTTCAAGAAAATCGTCTCATTGGTAGAATACCTGCCGAGCTAGGGACACTTCAAAACCTACGCCACCTGTAAACACTCACTTCACATCTTCTACTTACACTTTTCCATTGAGTTTTACTGATATTCTTCTTCTCAGAGATGTTGGTAACAATCATTTAGTGGGAACTATAAGGGAACTCATTCGTTTTGATGGTAGCTTCCCTTCTCTTCGCAACTTGTAAGCATTCTGCTCTTTACTTCTCTTTTTAAATTTGATAACACACTAAAAAAATCTCTTATCCTTTTAGGTACTTGAATAATAACTATTTGAGTGGAGGAATGCCTGCTCAGCTATCTAACCTTACGAGCTTAGAGATTGTGTAAGCACTCTACACTGCACATTCTGGAGTAAACTGTATTAGGATAACTCTAATCTCTGTTTTACTTCATTTTGTAGGTACTTGTCTTACAACAAGTTAATCGGAAACATTCCTTTTGCCATTGCTCATATTCCTAAGTTGACATTCTTGTAAGTTTCTTTTGTGTTTAGACTGCTGATCTTTCTGATTTACTTATAATCAATACAAAACATGTATTCTCATGGGATCATTTTTAAACTAGGTATCTTGATCACAACCAATTTAGTGGGAGAATCCCAGATGCATTCTACAAGCATCCATTCCTCAAAGAAATGTGAGTTACATGTCTTCAAACTATATAGCAAAACTTCTACTTAATTAAAACAGTGAAACTTGAAGTATAAGGAGACATGTTTCTATTTGTATCAGGTACATTGAAGGCAACATGTTCAAACAAGGTGCTAACCCAATTGGCACCCACATAGTTCTAGAAGTTTCTGATTCCGATTTTGTCGTGTGATGTGGTAAAAGATACTAGGATGTTTTAAGAGAACAATGTCTCAAAACTTCCTAGAGATGGTTCCACTTTAGCGTACTTCATTATAATTTGTTTGTATGGTTTTGATCCTTTGCAAATGGAAGAACGCATAGACTAAAAGTTTTCTTTAATATTGTATAGTTAGACACAATTCTACTAATATTTATTGAATTTCTCTTTTCTCTCTACAAGTCTTTTTCCAAAACCAGTTTGTTTTTCTTTTGTACAATTACGATACTGAGACTTACAAGATGTATATATAAATCAATAAGTACCATGTATGTACCTTTGTAGTATGATTAGACTATTATCTGTATATAGCTGCAAATTTTTTTATAGAGGTCCATATTCATCGTCTGAAGAGCCGTAAACCTGAATATTATTATGATAGAATACAATCAAAGTGGTTCTTACCTGTGCGAGAAAAACACCGTGGGGATCAGTTAAAGCGGCTGAGGAACTAATCCATTCCTGTTTGAGCCATTGTAGAAAGTAAAGTTTGCAGAGAATAAACTGACAAATTAAGCTCTTCTTTTCGACCCTTCTCCTTTCTTCTCTTTTCTTAATCTCTTCACAATCATAGTGAAAATTCGTGCAGGGTATCTGCCTTTGCAAAACGTGTAATGGTTTTTATGTGGAGAAGCACAAGTCTAGCACATGATTTGTTGTGTTTTGCCCCTCAAGCTCAATTATCCCAATAAACAAGAGCACTTTGATCCTTGCACAAAAAATCTGAATCTACAGTATATAGATGATATTCGAATGTCAAAATGATAGTGAGATTTAGGGGGCAAAGAAACCAAACCCAAAAATCCGAACCGAATCTTATTTTACGATATTTCTAGTTATGGACTTTATCCGAACCGAACACAAATTTAAATGGATATCCTAAAGAATCCGAAATTTCAAAATTTCAAAATTTCAACAAATGTGTACCATATCCAATCTTAATTTCTAATATGCATCCAAAACACATTAAGATATTCTTGAATACTTATAATAATTAGTTATAACATGAATAATTTACTCAAATACTTAGTCTAATATATATTTTTATCTGGTTAATATTAATTTTTTTATGTTTGACATTGCATTTGAAGTTTAGTTACTAATCATTTTGTTTTGAATTTTAAACAATATTATATATTTTTAATTTAAATAGTGTTTCTTACATTTATAGAATTGTTAGTTGTTAATTTTAATTTTTTTTATGTTTCATTATGTATGATTATTGTTCAAACAAAGCTTTGATTTATCATGAATACTGATATGTTTAGTATTTTCATATATAGTTCAATGACAAATCTCGTGTAATTGATAGACGAGTTTCAAAAACTTATTTTTTGAAGGACAACAATATGGTTGGAAGAAGCTAAATGCAAAAATTTATTGAAATGATTGAAAATATATTGAGTTTTATCAAGTATAAGTTAGTATTATAGAACTGATAATCTGATTAGTATCCAAAACCGAAATTATTTTGGGTTCGACCGGATCTTGGACATGTAACTAAATTCAAACCGAATCCAACTAAATCTGAACCGAATCTTACCCGTATTTTTTATAATATCCGAATGGGGTTGAAACCCAAATGAACTCGAACAAAAGTCCGATTGGAACCCCAACTTTCTAGACTTAGTGAGATGTGAGACTGGTGCATCAACTCAATTAGTTTATTTGATGCAAGTTACTAAGGAATAAATCAGTATGTTCTCATTTCTTAGCTACTCTTAATCTATTTTCTCTTCTATCCACATTCTTCTCTAATCTGATCTCACAGTATCATATGGCTTATTCGAGAATTGACCACAATTAGACATTCATATGAAACATTTGTATGGAACTAATCGCAGCTTTAAACATGTTTTTCACCATGTTCAGAGCATTGACAGCCTGATGGGCTAATAATAGACTTGATATGAATGAGATATGTGGTCTTGACCTTTGAAATTTATTGAAATGGATAAGTAATAGGCCTGACCGATCGTGAAAATTATAAAACAAAACATGTATTTAAAATAACAATTTATCTTGCATTTTGGAGATCATGTTTCTAGTTATTTCATCTTTCATCATACAACAAAACAAGCTCAAAAGAGAAAACAAGTTCACCAAAAATACTACTTAGTAATTTGATACTTATATGCATACTTTTTATTCAAAGTTTGATTCTTATTTTGGTGAAAAAATGAAGATTTGACGAAGTTAGTTACATGTACTAGACATAAAGCAAATTTATTGAATGTTGATAAGGCCACATATCAAGCATGGATTTGTGACTTTCTAAGACTGATTTTCTTTAACGAAATGTTTTTACGCATTGACAATAATACATATTAGTTTGTTAAAAAAAAAGGTCATGCTATAAAAGAGACTATTAATTGTATCCTCCATTTGGTTATGTCATGAACAATATTTGTACATGAACATTGATACTAATGACAATTTTCTTTCTACCAGAGGTGGAGGTTTGTTTATTTATTTTTAGTGTATAAGATCATATTTTGTGGTTGACCAGAAGACCATATATTGATTTAACAACAATACATGAATTAACTCATCCATGGAGGGATTACAATTAATTTCCCAAGAATCCTCCCAACTTAAACAACTTCAATAGATCCTTTCCAACGAAGACTTGATAATATGAGAGCAGTTGAAGTTGCATTGATTGCTACCAATTGGGGTGTGTTGATTGGTCCAATAGGTCCTTGTATATAACATATTGAAGTTTGTTAATTTAACCTTACATTAATTTAATTTCATGTGACTGTATAACTTATTTTTAAAAAATCATGTAGATTTTTCTGAAGTTGGATATTTGGACATGTATACTTTGATAGTTATTTGGGATATAGATATTTAGGTGGCAAGTTTCATCTGTCTAGTTTGATATATTCTCGATATTTTAGCAACCATTATCTTAGGGTCGCATCTTCTCCCTCGCGACTGCTACTACGACCACTTGATCTATACATGAGTTTGAATATAAGTTTGAAGCGGACGTGGACGTGTGTGTCAAGGTTCTGGATACACGTGAAAGCATCATGCACTTGGAAACTTGAGTAGAATGTTTATCATTATCTAATTTTAATTATTTTATTTAGTAATTTATCAGCATTATTTACTTGTGTTGCAAACAAACAAAACAATAGTTCTATATCTCCGCTTCTTTTATTGTTTAATATTGGCAACACATATTGGACTATGACTCTGTTTTTCTTAGGTACTTTTCTTTGAATTTGTTCTCTAAAAATTACATCCATGAATTGGTTTGTCTCATCTCATGTGAATTACACAAAACAAATTGTTAAGTTGCTGTTATCGCATCTGCAATCTAAGCAGTTTGTTTTTGTACAATCACAGCACTGAGAAGTTACAATATGAATATACCGATCAATGAATACTACTCAGCTAGAGTAATATATTTTTCTCGTGATTTGATTTATCCACATAGAGATACAGTAGAACCTCTATAAATTAATATAAACTAAATATCTCTATAAAATATTCTAATTTTATAGTCTCAAATTGAGTTTTTGGTTCGATTAGTATATCGATAAATTAATATCTCTCTAAATTAATAAAAAAACAAAATTTTGGTATAATCTCACATTATTAATTTATAGAGGTTTCACTATAGATGCTTTAAATAATAGTAGACTAACATGTAAGAATCCGACTCTATAGTATATATGTTAATTTGAATGTCAAAATGATGAGGCTTATGCATCATCAACTCAAACAATTCTATTTGATGCAAGTTGCTGAGTAATAAATCAAATATGTTATCACTTTCTTAGCCATTTTTAATCTATTCCTGCGTTACAAAACTGTGGTTTTATAATACTTCAGGCAGACAGTTTCTAGTCTTGAGACCAAACAGATTCTTCAGCAAATCCGCAGAGTTTGGAGGAATCTTGACACGTCTTGGAGCCATGAAGTTGACAATCTTCTCATGAACATTATACCTGTTTCGTTTCAACACAGCACTGCATTCAGAAAAGAAAAAAAATCTAAACCCAAAACTGTGATGATGAATCAAATCCAGAGATATGAAAATGCTTTTTTTTTTTCACTTGCCTGACTTTTCTGCTCTTAGAGGCAAGACGATCCACAATCTTCCTCTTCTCTGTCTGAAACTTCTTCATGGCGTAGAAAGCCGCTTCTGCCAATATCAGTATTGAGATTTTCAGACAACCAAAGACTCGGTTCAAAGATGTTTTTTTTATTGTGACTATACCTGATGAAGCTGGATCAATGGTCTCAAAGAACTCCTTTATTAACTGCTGATAGAACTCAGCATCTTCCACAAGCTCAGGGTCTCCTCCTTCCAGTTGTTTTTCCTGACAAAGAGAGTATACATACCAGAGAAGATTTAATGAACGCTTGACTTGGCTGTAGAGAAAACTGTGACAATAACCTCTTGGTTTGGTTCCATGGCCTCCTCAGGCACCTGTATGGATAGAAACTTAAAAGATCAGAACAAACTAGAGAGAAGCTGATGTATTGAATTTACAATTAGAAGCCAAAAACTTACAGTTCCGAAAACAGCAACAGTAGATGTTGATTGTTGCATTTGTTTAATCATTCTGCTTGGATCCCTCATGTAAGAATCAACCTGTTCACTAACGTTCTGGTTAAAGGCATGGAGCTTTCCTTTTATAGCAGCTGCACCACATTCTACAACACATAGACAAAGAGTAAGACCACTTTTGTGTTAACAATGGCCTTGAAGTTGAACAGTTAAGCCTTGGAATACCTTTTCTACATGTCAGATATTCTGTGCCATTCATCATAGCTATCTTCTCCATCTGATGTATTGGATTCTGAACGCGTTAGAGTAGCTTTACCATCTGCTTGTTGATCAACAGAGGGGTTCTTCTCAAACAAAGCCTGAGTAAACAAAGGAGTCAGAGGAAGCTAGGCGTATACAGTTACTAATTAAGGATAATGAAGCATATACATACCCCTTGTAACTCCAAGAGGGAAGCTAACGTCTTCTTAGATGAAGTAACTAGCTCATCATATGCTGTTGAAACCTTCTTATCTCTTCTGAATCACTTTCATAAAGTCTTGACCTTTTGGAACTCTTTGACCCTCCAGCCATGTTAAACACTCCCAATGCTACAAATAAACGAAAAAAAAAACTAAGTCAATGTGAATGAGCAGAATCTATTTATACATATGCAAAAAGAAAAGATTAAACATAAGCTTAGAAGAAGAAACGTGACGAATACGGAAACAAGAGAGAGTTAAAAACCAAATGAAACTAACCTAAAATCTGACAGTAGTCTGGTTTGAAATCGTCGAGCTCAAAGCTGCCTACGAGCAGAGGAGAAGTTGCGACGAAGAAGAGCTGTGAGTTTTTACTTAACCAACAAACCGGTCGGTTCATTACAAATCCGGTTTAAAGGTTTTAACTGGGTTTTGCGGTTTGATAGGACATGTCGGGTAATAAACTAGACCGTAAAACCGGTCGGTCTGACCATGGATGCTAATTCCCCTGCTTAACTGTTTCTTACTTTCTTCATTTTTTTTTTTAAATTTCTTCCTTAAAGCAATCATTATTTACTTGCCTCTTACGAAATCTATAAAACCTTTTTAACACTGAATCTTTTAACTTATAGTTGATTGGTTCATGTTCTCTCCTTTAGAAGAAAATTACATAAAATTGAATGGTATACTAAAGGGCTTTTTGCTTTCATTTCTAGTAGAGAGATCAGTGATAAAGACCACTTACTTGCTGCTTTAGTTAACATAATAATATCAATGTATTATTTTATTTTTTAATGACTAAGAATTTCTGAACATATTAGAGCAAGATCCAAACAATTTAAAATTTGCTATATTTTGGAGAGGAAATCACTTCAAACAGAACTTGAATTCATAATCCCTTAAATAACTATTAGATAATCTAAGAGTTTTAATCACTAGACCAACTCCTCATTGGTATTAATATTTTTTTTCTTTTTGTAACACCCTCATTGGTATTAATATATTATTAAGATTCTTTAATTCAAGAAGAAAAAAACTTATATTGCTCTCTCAGTTTCAAGAAACATGTAACTTCTTTTATATTTGTAATAGAAGGTTGTGCTGAACTAATATATGCTCTCGTTACTGTGAATCTTGACAACATCTTCATTAATTTAAACAAGTAATTAAATCATTGCTTAGTGATACACCTCATACATATTATGTCGGCAATGAAATTCTACTGTAGGATTTTAACCAAACGTGAATTCCAAGATTGGCATTGATTAATGATTATAGTTTCTGGTATGTAACTTTACAAGATGCCAAAATAAGCAAAAGATAAAAAAAAATGTAATGACTAAAATAAACTCTTTGGTCCTTTGATGCATATCTTAGTGTTCTCTGTATCACATATTTGGATCTTGACCAAATACTCATCTTCTCCACCAATCTTCTCATCCTCCTCGTTCTTGACGCAGCTTTGGTAAAAAAAGAAGTTGACTATAGTGTCAAGAACCAAGAAGAGAGCATATAAGTAAGCTATGAACGTTCCTTCAATAGCTATTAAAGTGACATCTCTATCTCCTTTGTAATATGATCTCATTACTCTGTATCGAAACAAAGCTTCAACACCAGCTAAGCTGAGGTTAGTAGGCAGAGCAAGAGCTAATGCTGTTGAAGTTCTTCCGCGAATGAGAAGACATGCTTTGAGAAGAGTTGCGTATCCTCCTGAGGAGGAGGAGGGTGATGAAACCAAGGCTAAGTTGGAGATGACAAATGCGTTTGCGATGATGATTGAGTAGATAAGGGCTGAGGATAAGGAGAAGAGAGTGTAGAAGTTTCTTGAAGAGAAGCCAAAGGAGTTTAGGATGTTGAATGCTAAGAAGAACAGAGCAAAAGCAGAGGCGTTTGCTGAGAGGAGGAAGAAAGAGTTGCAAATGTAAGTTCTGAGGAGACGATAGTAGTAAACAGAAGAAGCTCCAGAGAGAAGCTTGATGATGTAAGCTTTGGAGAAGAGCATGAAAGTGAGGGAGAAAGGGAGAGTGAACAAAGAAGAAGAGAGTGTTTGTGAGAGTTTAAGGCTTAAGATGTTGAAGAAACCAAGAGAAGAAGAGAAACCAGCACCACGGAAGAGAGTGTTTAGCTTCATGTAAATGGAGGAAGAAGAAGAAGAGAAGAAGGGCTGAGAGAGGAGGAGAGCGGCAGAGAAAGGGAGAGCAATGGCGGCTGCGGTGGTGACACGGTGGTAGTGTTGTAAGAAAGTGTGGATTGATCTTCTCATGATCTTTCTTGGATCTTCCATTGTCTTCTTCAATTCTTGTTTTGAAGATGTGTGTATTTCTTGAATGATCCACCAAATCTTGAAAGAGGTTTCCTCACTAGATATATATGTGTATGATAGAGATGATAATGCTTTACATATACATTTTATAATACTTTTTGCTAAATTTATTGTGGGTTGGGTGATAGAAAAGGGAATAGAGGTAGACCAACCGATTTTGCCTGACTATAAGGAGTTGTTTAGGCAAATTAATATAAAATAAATCTTTCTTTTTCTTGTAAAAAAAAAAAGAACAATGCTTTTTGCATGGGAATGATCTTTCTTGTTACAGTTATAAATAATGTTTCCTCGTTAGGTTTAACTGGGTGTAATGTATAGTTTTTCAAGTACTGTTGTTAGAAGAATGTAATCTATTGGTTTCATTTTGATACATGTTTCTTGAGAGGGATTATTTTATTTGTGATATGCTCAGGCTGTAACTGGATTCGGATGCTTACAATACACGCCATTGCATAAATTGTGTGGGAGAGTGAGTCTATGTAAATAGTATTCAATTATAAGCTTAATGATTATTTGAGGAAATTGGAAGTCTTAGCTTTCAAGAAATTGAATAATGATAAGAACTTAAAAGAGTAAAGTTAAATTTAAACTGAGAAAGTGGTGCTTGTTTTATGCTTTTTCATATTGTAAACTGCTTAATGATTTTTGAGTGAGAAATTTCCAAACTTTTCGAACTTGTCTTGAGGCGATTTAATCATATGTAAGAACCTCCTAAGGTTAGCTGTATTGAGAAGTAAGCATGTTAGCAAATAGTCTGGCATAGATAATTTCACCTGTTTAACTATAAATAATTTTCTTCTATACATATATACTAATTAACAATTGTGTTCTTGTAACAGTGCAATGATTCATCTTTTATAAATACATCCTTTTAATTAAGCTACCAATTTGGTTTTATAGTAATTAAGAAAAAGATAATTTCAATATAAATGAGAAATTATCAAACTTTGTCCAACCTCTATCATGTATTTGGTGTGCAGTCTTATTGAGTTGGACTTGGTGGTTAGGGAGTTCTCCATTTGCTTGGCTTAAATGTATTATTTTCTTGGTATATAGTTTTCTATTATATCCTTTCATATTATCCACTATTGATATTTTAAATTAATTAATGGCAAATAGTAATTATTTATACGTGGTCAATCATTATTGAGTTTCATTAGAAAAAAAATAATTAAGCAAAAAAAAAAAACCATGGAACTTTGCAAATTATCATATCTATATATAGCCAAAGTGTTTAGAATTTTACAAAGTATGACAAAGAAATCTCAAAGTATTTGGTAAAATCTCAAATGGAGTAATGTTAAGAGTTGCATGTATTACTATATACTAGGTGATTTTCCCGTGCTCATGCACGGGCATGTATATTTATAAAATAAATATACAATAATAATTGATTGATATTTACTTTATAGTTTGTATGTCTAATTTATATTATAATATTATATTACTTTAATTATATATATAATTTTAGATATGTTATACTTAGTCTGTTTTTTTTTACGGTCGATTTAGTTATCATTTAGATATATTGGATTCTATCTATTTCTCTGAATTCAACTATTATCTTTTATAATTTAAATATATTATTTTTTTGATTAATTGTCTTATTTGTATTTATGCTGATTGTTATCTTAGAAATATAAGTGCTTAGAAGAAAAAAAAAACTAAAGTTTCTGATTCTAAATTACATACATAAGTAACTAATAAATTTTTAGAAGCTTTTGAATACATATCAATATTTACAATAATTAAAATATTTTATAAATTCCAAATAAATTAATGCTTTAGATTGATTAGATGGTAAACTGAAATTTATTTTAAATAATTTTAAAAATAAGGATTCTGATTTTCTTAAGTATTTTGACTATGGTTATATTAAGTTTCACAAACATAAAAATAGAAAATTAAAAATCAAAAGATTTATTAAGAAAACAGATAATTTTAACTATTAAAATATAATATATCTACCTCGTTAAATTATATAACGTTATGGTATTTTAAAATAATTGTAGTTATTTTCTGTTTTTATGTTTGTGAAACTTAATATAACCATAATCAAAATACTTATGTAAATCAGAATCCTTATTCTTAAAACAGATAATTTTAGCTATTAATAAATAATATATCTACCTCATTAAATTATATAGTGTTATGATAATTTAAAATAATTGTAGTTACTTGATCAAAAGATGTTTATTATTAAAATTATTTTTAGTTTTCTTTTTAATATCTCTTAAAATAGTCAGTAAAAAATGATTGTTTTTGAGAAATTATACTATATAAGTAAAATAGAATTTATATTTTTATTGTAATTGTAAGATATTATAGTCAAATAAATATACTAAAAAGATAATTTGAATAATACTAATTATAAAAAATTTCAATTAAACATATATCAGTTTATGTTAGTTGATTATTTTATGTAACCATCTAATAAAATAGATAGATATATACAATAATAATTATTTTGAAAATATATATATATTATTGTTTAAAATTATTTTTTAAAGAAAAAATATTTCTTTTTCTAATATCAATATTTTTTGTGTGAATTTTTTTTTTGAAATCACATTATATACAGATATTGTTTTTTTATCTAAGAAGATATAGATATAAAGTATTTTATTACTTCAAAGGTATATTTTATGTTATTTAAAATATATTTAAATTAAATATTAGTATTTTGTGAACTTTCCTTTTTTTATTAAACCATATTATATATACGGATATTTTCGTTTTTAAACAGTTTTGTAAATTTTATAAATGTTTCCTTTTTATTTTATATTGTTATATGGAAATTTTTAAAAAGGAAATAATATTTAATTGTATTTTTAATTCATTAGGGGTATCATAGTAATCAACCATCGTGAAAGTTAATGTGAGCGCATAAAGAAATACGGCTGGTAAAAAAAATATACGGCGGGTAAAGTACTATCACATAAAGTTTTGTCATTTGTGGTGTTGGTGTAGCTGTGTTTATAAACACAACCAAACATCTAACATTATGGTTAGGTGAATAACCAATATGAGCCATTCTTGTTGACATGCCTCTTTCTTACACTACCAAAAACTAGAATGGACAATATGCTACCACCAATCTAGAGTCAACGTTACTCGCACAGTCACACCTTGCTATTTATTTGTTCAATTTAAATTTACAACATTTTGAACTAGAATTATATACTTAGGTTTAAACTTATTTTGTTTTATTTACAACAAGAAGATTCAAAATATGATTTTATAATTTAAAATATACACTCATAACCCCAACTAATAAAATATTCAATTTGCCATTAGATATCTTGTTTAAATTTAGAATCTCTTAAAGTACATCATATTGTTTAGACATCCCCATCGTCATTATGATTTGTAGAACAAATAACTCGTCAATCATTGTGATTTTGAATAGTGTTGTTGTATCAACCCATCCAAAATATTGTGACATCTAAGCTACCTAATCAATTATACGTTTCTGTATGTATTGATAATTGATTACATGTATTCTCTTTTTAGACGTTACTTTTTAATTATTATCATTAACTCCAAACAGTATGAAATACAGATTAAAATCATTGAAAAACATAACCATATATAAACTACTAAAATCTTCTTCCAAAATATCACTATTTGTTTCATATATTTGTTTCGATTTATTGACGTAGAGTGTCCCTTTTTGTTTTATACGTAGAATATACTTCTTTATGTAACGATCGTATCAAAGAATTTGTCTAATAGAGTCTGTTAAAGAACGTTATATACACTTTATCTTGAATTACTTATTTTGATAGTCTATGTCTACACGAGCACTTGGTTACATAATTCGACGACTAAAGTTGTAAGAAAGAATGGCAAAAAAAATTGTAAGAAAGAAAGAAAAATCACGTGCAACTAAGGCTGGATTCGTGCAACTGAAGGCTGGATTCTTTTACTTCTTCTGATCTGTAAAGCTGTGATGTGACCAAGTAATAAAACTATATTGGCTCATTGTATAACTACATCTTGGAGGTCATCCAAATTTAATTATTATTTTTTGAAACTTATCCAAATTTAAGTTGACTTAGAAATAGACTACTATAAGACAAATAATTCGTAGTTCAATATAGCTATAGTTGAAACACTTATCAAACTTTTTTTTTTCATCAACAATTATCGAACTATAGCCTATAGGAGACAAACAAACACTACTTTACAAAAATAAATATTGAACCAAGTTGCTTTGGTCTAGTGGTAAAGAAGCTCCAGCTGGAGTGTCCGTCCCTGGATTTGAGTATTAGCCACTGCAGAATTTATATATGGACTGCAGTATCCGAGACCGAAAGTCGTTATAGGTGAGACACATGGTGATGTCCTAGCAGTGTTCTTGCTCGTTTCGGTCTCTAGTCTGAATCACTTCGATGGAGTCAGGATACTCGGTTAAAAAAAAAAAAATACTGCATGGTTGGCACATATATAAGAATATGTACCCACTTCTACAACTATTTTATTCCTAGACATGGCACAGATCTCTGGACGGGGAGATGATTTTCTTCAAATGTGTATTAGGCAAAGGAATCATTAGATTCACTACTATGTTGGGCTTAAGTTTGGGTCAAAATCTTACCATCAATATGGGCTCATATGATATCCATTTAATTTCCGTTGACTACTATCCAAAACTATGATCGGCATTGTGACATAATCGTTATGACAGTTTTTCTTTAAAAAGAGAACATATTTAATTCTTTTAGAGAGTAAACATACAAGATAGTTAAATATACCATAGTGGAGTTATCACGAGTTTAGTTTAAGCTTTGTGACACACAAACATGGCGAATGTATTGTATTGTTAGCATCTTCGGTATCAGAGTGTGTACCAATTCCAATATACCTTTTCAGCTCTCAAGCGTCCATGAAATGTAAAACTTAACATTTGAGCAAAAATATAAACTACTACTATTTTTTTTTTCAAATAGATTTCACAGATATGTTTATTGTTTAAACTGATAATATATCATTTTTAAACGATAATAATATATCTAATCTTAAACAGAAAAAGAACTAAACACGTCTTTCACTAATTTAGAACAAACAAAAAAAAGGCAGTTGCACACACTGAAAATTTTCAAAGTTATCATTAGGCTCTATCATTTATAGAAAGA